AGTCAATATAAAGCAAGATCAGACACCACGACTGTACAAGAGAGCTGCACTTTATTGGACACACAATCACAGCAAATTATGTACAAAAGAAGGCAGGTTCAACTGCCTGCTGTCTTCTCACAGGAAAAACACACACATTTCTCACAGAATATCATGGCATCCACACTGATAAATTAGTATCTCCAGTGTCAGTAGGCTTTTTAAATTTCTATATCATTATATTATAGATCTATTTTCTGTATTATTTTTGTTCTTATATCACACTACTCTACAAATGGGAGATTCACTCTGTGGACAGAGTACACCATTGCTGGCGCCTTCTCTGGTCGGGGTGCGTTCAAGTGTTCTGAATCCTCGATGTTCAACACTCTCAGCCATCATCATCACATAACGTCACAGAAAAACTGAACATGCCTGTGTCACAGTTAGCAAAATAAAGTCTCATTCTTCCTGTTTGTAAACCTCTCAACATAGAACCGCCTCTCCTTTCCGCTTTCTTTCTCATCCTTTTGAGAAAACAAGTAGACAACATTTTTTTTAATCAACTGCACCGTGCGATTGCTTGAGACTATACATGCATTGTTTTTGTATATACCTTTGTACCCATCGTCATAGTTTATTAATAAAACATCTTTTTGGACATAACAATTTTGTTGAACTCGCTAGGAATGACTCGGCCTATTTACAAGTCAATTTTGTTTTTCTACTTTTGATGCCAAGATTTTTGAACATCCACACATTCATGTAAAAATCTCATATACATACTATAGAATGTAGGTTCATTATATATATATAAAAAAAAGCTAAAATGGCAAAAGAAAAGATTTAAATTCATACAGCTCCACATAATTCTCTTATTAATCCATCTTGGTGGATTTACAGCTTTTATAGTTCAGCTTAACTGCTACCTAAAGCCACTCAGTGCAACAACTGGAGCAGTATAAGCCAGAAAATGTACTTCCACCTGTTAATATTAATAGCCTGTCTTCTCTGAAACCTTATGCACTGAGCATCCACATTCCTGTTCACATGCAAACATGACACAGAGATAAATTAAAGCCAAGTAACTCACTTTTGTCAAAGCAGCAAGGCCTCATATGAAGCCTCTTGGCTCATAAACTGACCTTTCACAGTAGTTACTACAATATCTGTGTTTCTGACCATCTCCAACATCACAAATACCACCTGAATCACAAATACAGAACCAAGTGAACCCAAAAAACAGACCAAAAAGATACGGAACAAAAAAAAAAACAACAATCCCCTCACAAAAACCAAAAAAGATAGTAGCAAAATAAGCCCCTACACACAGGCACTGGTCCAGCCTCTTATAAGTGACGCTTCACATAAGGAGGTAAAGTTACAGACGAGCTGGACAAGCGTTTTCAGGGACGAGCTTTTCATAAATCAAAATTACATAAAATCCAACTCAGTGTTCTTAAAGAAAATCCTAGAATTTAAAAATGAACTTCAGTGTATATTACAGAGGCTAACTGTTATCTATACAGATATTTTAAACAAATATAAAAATGTTCTGCATATGAATAAATAATCTCAGTGTGAAATGTAATATCTCTCTCAATGAATTAAAAAAGAAAAGTCTGTACAAAATGGTCACTAATATATAAAACAGAAGAGATGATGACATTTTACAGTATATAATTTAATCTAGGCCTATATATATCACATTTTCTTCACAATTATATCATACACAAACATCTCACTTAGATATATTTATATATGTATATTTCTTCTATGTTTTAATTTCAAGTTTGCATGAGTTTTTCTGATTGCCAGAGGCATCCACTGTGAGTGTGTTCGACATGCCCTCTAAGCCTCCAGCCATGTTGAAATCACAGCCCACTAACACTTGTCTTGAAAAAAAAAAAAAAATCAGTCCAGAGAGCAAAGTCACGCAATTCTGGGGGGGTTTCATCTCAGACTTTACTTGGGGAAAGCAGCCAAGCGTGCACACTTCCTCCCCAACGCTCACCAGACGCAAATGCAGCAATTTTAACTTGGAGAGTTATGGATTTGAGTGTGGAACAGCATGAGTAAGTGAATTTCTTTCATTTGACTTCACTCAATATGAAACCCAGGGCTTGAACCTGCCTGGCAGAGCTACAGAGCACCCAGGGTGAGGCTTAATTCGCTGTGCTGTGAGCTTGCAGTTTTGCACACTCTTCGAGCTGGGGGAGTGTTTAGTCAAATGCCACCGCTGCAACCTGACACACTCTGCATTTCAAGTGCTGTTTTCTTTCTTTTCTTTTTTTTTTTTTTCTTTTTTTTTTTCTCTCTACGGAAAAAAAAAATGGGAACAAGCCAGTTCTCACAGCTTCTTCTTTGGATAAAAGTGTTATTCTGTCATTGCTGCTGATCTAATACTGTAATACAAGATCATTCTGGGATTTCTGGCAAGTCTTAGAGGCACTGGGAAAAAACATGGTTACAGGTCCTTGCAGACAAACAGGCAGGAGTATGTCAAAGGCAAAGAGCACTGGCTTGGTAAAATTGCAAGAGTGCTAATTACATATTGCACATGTTGGTTATAATTTTGTCCGAGTCTAACCTCAGCTGAGTGGTTTTTATTTTAGAGATGCCCCACACCAAAGACAAAGCAAAGTGAAAGGGGCAGCGAAAGAATAGCCGCTTAACAGCTCTCTGACTGTCAAAACTCTTCCTCTCATCTCTTTGGGTCTTTTATATCACAAGCACTCTCGATGGAGACAGGGCGAGTCAAAGCCGGCCTTATTAAAGTAGCCTTCAAACACATGTCCCAAAACTAATCCTCTCTCCTCAAGCTGCCTACTCTTTGACACGAGCCCCTTAGCACATGTTTTAATCTCAATGCCACAAAGAATCGATTTCACACAGTCATTCTGAGGAACAACTAAAAAGAATCACTTTGTCTGTAACTGTCCGTTCTACCTTGTCACCTCCCCAGCAGGCGGCCTTGAGGCAAACACGCAGGACAGGCGGCTTCAAAGTGGTTCCTCGTGCAGGGGTTTACACCTAGGAAACTCTCTGACAGGCTTTAGATGTGCTTTAAATAATCATAAACTTCAGCTACTGTCACTGAGAAGCACCAAAGGCCTTCATTCATAAATGTTTCAGAATGTAGGTTATTAAACCAAAGCAGTATTTTGCAATCCGATGTGCCGTATAACTAATATGTGGGGAAGGTTCCTGTTTTTTTTTTTGTTGCTTTCACGAAACATTTGTAGCTTTGTGCTTTTCGTCAGAAACCAGATTCACAAAGTCAAAATTAGAAACAAGGGTTCTGTGTTTGAGAGGAAACTGTGCTTGCTTTCCATTTCTATGTTCTCCTCTCAGGCCCTTTAAATGGTTAAACGTTATATTTGAAGTCTAAATATGTGCTGTTTAACAGTTTTTTGTCTCTGTCACGACACCAGCATTCAAACAATGTTTAAGCGTCATTGAAGGATATGTTTTTTTTAAAGTGGACATTCTGTTTTCTAATCAGGGCTGCAAATTGATGAAAACTTTGGGGAGCTGCTTTCTGGCAGATAAACTTTGAACTTCAAAAGACGCAAGTGCCCCATAAGAAAACATCTATCAGTCTGTAGATTGGATTCCTTAAAGGGTGAAATCATGTTCTGGTCAATATGGCATATTTTACCAGAGTGCTCTTTATCAGCGGTGCAACAGATGTGACTTAAAATGAATCGTCACAGAAGATTTGCAGGAAAAAAAAAAAAGTCTGTGCTGTACAACTTGGCTTTACAAGTGCATGTGTGACAGACTGCGTGTATGTGTGTGTGTGTGTGTGTGTGTGTGTGTGTGTGTGTGTGTGCGTGTGTTATTCATCACTGTATGTGCTTGAGTCTTTGGGATGGATTTCGATGTCAGGCGTGGAAAAAGCCAGAGCAACCTGTAAGATGCTACTGAGGAAACATCCTGATTGTCATAATTAACTAGTTAGTACACATATACAGGAAAAAAAAACAAAAAACATTTGTATACAATTCATCATTTGCATTTTTCCCTTCTGTTTGTCTTACTGTGCCTCTTTGTTGCATGTGAAACAGAGGTGTGCTGTTCCCAGACTGCTCCCTGCTGTGTGCTTTTTGTGAATATACCGTCATTTCCAATTTTCAATTAAAAAACATCAATCATTGTTTCTAATTTCCGATGCAAGCATTTTCATTTTGTAGAAGTGCATATAAATTAAAGCCAGACAGTGGAATGTACAGGGAAGTGAGAACGATCATGTAAACTCTTCACACAGTGTGTACAAACAGAGGGGAAAATATAGCACCAGTTCAGAGTTTGAAACACAGGTGATGCAAGAAAAGCCACAAATGCCCCTTTAAACGAAAAACAGCTTGAAACCACAATCATCACCTTGTCTGTGATTTTTTTTTTTTTCTTTTTAATTTTTAATTTTTTTAACAGACTCACATTCCGCCAGGTGATGCAGGTACGTGAGCAATATTATCCTGAACACACACAACTACTGGACTGACTCGGTGATTATTGCAGCTCTAATTTTCTATGATCAAAGTCACAGTCTAGATATTTTATCTATGCCACTAACAACCCACTGAATGAGGGGTAGATGGGAGGATGGTACTGTCAGTGAATACATCCAGAGCACATCAGCTTACAGCACACAGCTGGTGGGAGGGGAGCCCCGTTTGTGCTCTCTCTATCTGGAAAGCTGGCAGTATGACTGTGTGGGAGATCTGCAGAGGAACTATGGAAGCAGATCAGAGTGAGAAAGAAGACTGTGACTCCATTTACAGTGTGGTGGATCTTGCCATGAAATTATGAAGACTCTGCAGACTGGAGCGAATCCATAATGCGGGAGGAAAAACAAGGAACAGAAGGAGCCAAAAAGTCCTAAAAGAACATATGAGCAAAAAAAAAAAAACAAACCCAAAAAACAGGGTTTTCCCATGATGTCCTTGTTTGCTCCATATGGTTCATGATGTGATGTGCTTAAATTGCATTTTTCCATGTCCTCATCCTCCTCCTATTCATCTCCAGGAGTTGTCAGGGGTCAGGTCCTTATTCACAGGCTCGCTGCCACCATCCTTGCAGCTGTTGAGGCTGGAGCTGTCAAGGCTATGACTGCTGGGCTTGGAAATCCCAGACGAGAAGGTGAAGGAATTTAAAGGGGTGGGAGAGGAGGGAGACAGGGATGGAGTAGGGGTGGTGGGTGAGGAGGAAGAGGAGGAGGATGTAGCAGGGGGAGTAGGGGATGAGGACTGGCTGCTGGGCGGAGGCAAGGAGGAGGCTCGCTGCTCACGGAGAAGGCGGTGATGACGGAGGGTGGAGGAGAGGAGCAAGGCCTCAGCGCTCAGGCCGGAGGCAGTCAGGCTTGCCAGGAGGGCCTTTGCTTGGCTTGAGGAGGCTGTCAGGGAGGGCATTGACCCCTCCTTGGGGTACTTCCTCAGGCCAGGGGCAAACGCTGCTGCAGGAGAGGCCACTCGGCCTGAAAAAATGCCCGTTTTGATACCAGAGAGGTATGGCTCAATACTGCCACTGGTGTTGTTGGTCCCCAAGGCCTTCAGGTGGAGCAGGGACACAGAAGACAGGAGGGGGGGTAGAGGAGAGATGAGGTTTTAAGGGGTCAAAGGGGAAATCATGACAAATAAAAGTCTTAAAACTCTGGCTGGGCTCTGTGGCCTGCAGCACCTTCCCTTACCATTAGAGTCAAACATGCCTGTGCAAGCATGCTTGCGCACACACACACATACACACACACACACACGTACGCACTCATCCACAAATGCACACAGAGTGGGTTTCAGAGCATATTTTGGAGTCAACACTGGAGATGCAAACGGAGCTGATAGAGTACAAAGGGGTGGGGGAGGGCAGATGGATGTGTGTATCTCTGTAGTCAGGTGAACAGGAGGAGAAGGAAGCTGAAGAGGCTGGACACGGACAGGTCGCTCACTGCTGCAGGGTTACGGGTGGAGAGAGACGGGCAGGCCGGGAGGTGCAGGGCGGCACGGGTTCACACGGGGTGACGGGGTGGGTGAGGTGGCGCCGCAGAAAGTGTCAGAAGAAACATGTAGTGGAGGGGTGGGGAGTGAAAACAGAACAGGAGACAAACACAGGAGATTGTTATTCAGGTTGATAGCAGCATGTGTGATGCAAGCCACGACACAGGCTGCCATCTACACATGATGACCAAACCACTGATAGCACTGATACGGTGCGGCAGTGAAAGAGGTCAGCTGCAGATTGCACCGTTGACCACCTTTATTTTGACACTTGTTTTAATGATGCCCGCTCATTAAAATGCAAGATATTCCGATGGACTGACAGCACCACACCTTTAGGCCTGTTATGCAATGCAGGAATGAGTCAGTAGATGGCACTGTTTCGACAACATGAAACAACAAGAATTTGTCTCTCTTTTGCTGAGGTGCATGACAGACACAGTTTGTATGTTTTATGTGCAGAGGGGGGACAGACTGTGCTAAATATACCAGAGTGATGACAGAGCGAGATAAGATCTGTTTTTAAAAGCAAAACCTGTCTTTTTTTTTTTTATTAGACTTCAGAAAAGCTTTATTCATGCATTCTATAAGAAGAAACGGGAGAAAAGTTTTTGCTGCGGATCTGAAAGTTTTAAAAGGCGTTTGTTTTGGGATTATGGGGATCAGTTCTGCATGAAACGGAGAGCAGGTGTGCTAGTCTAGACTGCGGTGCTGGGAGGCTTTCACCTGCTCTGTTGCAGTTCCAGAGCCTGTGCTGCCAGCCGTCCCCAGAGAGCAGGGCTGTTCCTTCTGCTCGAGGAACTCGTCTCAAGCCCAGCCGACACATTTATTCTGGTCTGCGAGTGTGGGAGAGCGGCCTCCCTTCATCTCACGCGCTCGGAGCTGCCTGCCAAAAACGACAGCCTCCGAGGACAGGCCTTCACTACCCCCCAACCTCATGCCCAGCACCTTTAACTAGCCTGTTTTACCGCCAGATAATAAGAGGGCAAATGGGAAATGGAAATAGGGTTTTGCAGCGTGAAAGTGATTCACATTGTCATGCCCTCCTTGATCTGTGCCAAAGCAAACGAGGAGAAATTGTGGCTTTGAACTGTCTGTTCTTATCCAGCACATTGATTTGAAGGATCCTCATGCCTGGAATGTTCTAATACCTCTGAGTAAAGCTTTAGCGAGCAGACAGCCCGAGCACAGTGGCACAAAGCACCATCAGAAAGGCGATGTTAATTTTAACACCCGCAATTAACACACACAGATAACATCAGAGCCCATCTTGACGAAGAACCTAATGCTCTGGAAAAAAAAAAAAAAAAAACATTAATGCATGATTTCTAGGAGAGCTTTTTTAGTGTGAGAAGTTGTAACAAGGCACGCCACCTAAAATCTGACAGGCCAAGCTGATTCCTACCCCAAAATCCTAAACTTATGTTTAGCAAGATGGTACAATGTTCAGTCATCGTGCTTCATCTTGATTAGAAAAACGGAATAACTTGAAATCGGCAATGCTAAATACAAACTACCAAAGTGTTGCCCGTTCATCTGGTTTTAGTTGACTGCAGATGGCACACAGTGACATCTTAAAAATATCGAACTGTCCCTCCAGCTGGCTTTTGTGACACGTTAATGAACACCAGCTGCCTTTCAAGTGAACTGACTGAAACTGTCATTGTATGGATAATGGCACTGATGGTAAAGATATTTATATATTCAGATATTTAGATCTATTCATGTGTAAGCTGCAGTTTGGGATAGTAGACCGCTGGGAGGCTGCAAAGTGTTGTCCCTTGGGTTTGTCCCCCATTTTAAATGCCCTAGAAATGTCATTGTCAGTTTGCTGAAGGAGACAAAAGAGAACAATCTGAAACATCAAAGGGAATTGGAAGGAGGGTAAAAGTTTGGGGTTCAGGAGTTACGACCACGAGAGGTTTAAGAGAAGACTTTACCTTCAGCTGTGGGCCGAGCAGAGAGGTCACCCAAGGTGGGCACGTCTGATTATCAGAACAACAGTATCAGTCAAAAGTGCAGATCAGAGCAGGTGTGAGTTCACTGGGTTAGCTCAAATAGCTAGAATCATTCGTCTTACAGCCTAATCATAAGGGAAATATGTGGACTGGTCGACTGTTTGGACACGTTCTTCACAATCGTATTCTTCAAAAACAAGCAGCTAAGTTTTTAGCTGCTGAAAAATATTTAAAAGTTTTTGGGGGTTTTAATGAGAAATTTCCTTTCAGAATAATCACAAACTCAGTGTCAGCGATGGGTTAAAAAAACACTGGGCGAAGTGAACGTAGAGTCGGCAAAAGTTCTTAATTAGCTCTTTAAGGCTGTATGCAAATCAGCCAGCCGCCTCGATAATTTGATGAGATGAGCTGCAGATAATCAGCATGTTTTTTTTCCTGCCGAGTCCACGCTCAGCTGTTTCATTATACCAAATTTAAAATGATTTGCTAGACAAGATTTTGCATCTGTAAGCTAAATTGTCAGGATGTGTACTATTTTGTTGGATTGACAGAAAAGACATCTGAAAGATAAATATATGTAAATATATATATATACGTCTTGAGGCGGCTGGCTGATATATATATATGTATACAAATATATATACACATATATATGTATATATGTATACATACATACATACATAGATACATATGTGTGTGTAAGATACAGCGTCATTCACGTTTGCAGTCATTTAGCTAAATAGTATATGCTGCCTTGTTAAGCTGAATAAATATAAGCAGATAAAATAATAATTAGCTTCTGTGTCTGTGTTCTGTGTTTACTTAAAGCAGCACCAATTATAAGAACATTGTTGCTGGCTGAGCTAACAGCACTGACTGATTACTCCTTGTAGACATTTTTGAGTTTGCTGGTTTAAGAGGCAGACGCCATGTTATTGGCTGAAAAGTGAGAAATCTGTGAAAACATTAGTCATTAAAATGGACTTTTAAAAAATAAAAACTGCCATGAAATAAGAGTTTTATTGTGGAGAATGAAGATAAAAATGAAGACCTATAAAACTCAGGCAGTTTATTATCTGAATGCTCCATGTTTGCTTTTTTATGACCACACCCACACCTCCAAATGTAGAAAAGGGCTACTTGACCTCTCAGCTACTCACCTCAAAATGACACAAAATACAAGTTATTGTCAGATGTAAAGTCTGCCACAGCTGACCGTTTGTTCTCCCAGTTTAAATCAGCTGCTTCTTTGTTTGTCTGTGTTTTTCCATTGTGCAGTTGTGGTGCGTTGCCACCCTAAACTGCTCAGCACCGACTTCCCATGCTCACAATTAGCTTTGAGTGTCCACTGTCCCTCTGAAGGAGACGCTTTCACACACACACAACGTCTTTTTTTCGCAACGATTGTTTCGAGCAGTTTGTGGAACGTGTGCGAGTGTCACACTGGAATAATGGGATTAATTTTGCTTTCATTAAACGAGTGTAGGCATCCACTCGGCTTCCAAATCTCAGGGAATGAGCCAGACTGACAAAAGGGTGAGTGAAAAGGAGTAGGGCAGCGTGCGCAAATTGCAGAGTACAGAACGCGGAAAAAGGAAAAGAGAGACATAAAGAAGAGGAAACGTGGAAGACTTAATGGTGGAAAGAAGAACTGCCCTCTTCATGTTGAATAATCAGTGATTGCCAGCGACTCAAGGGGCGATTATTACATAGCACTGCAGATTCTTCCCCATCTCCTCTCGAACTGAGGCGACCGAAGCTTCATTACTCCCCCCATCTCCCAAATCTCTCTCTCTCTCTCTTCGCTTAACGCGTTCATTTCTCTGCAATCTTCGAGACTGAATTTGTGTGTGAATGCTCTGTCAAATTCTCCGGGGTATGAAGGTTTAGGTGCACTTCACTGCTTCGGTTATTTTTCAAATTACATTGACATTAAGCTTCTTCTTCCCAGTGCACGGGCACGGAGCAAAAATCTTCTCTTGGCTTTACTTGACTGACATGCTTCAACAGTTCCATTTCCTTGCCTCTGGAGGCCATCTAGCATCCTTATGTCCAGCCCTTTACCTTACTTTATAGCCCCGAAATGTCTGCAAATTAAAACCAAATAAGGACGTAGAGCCGGCTATCAGGGCAAAAGATATAGCAACAAATGCATAGAGAGGGGCTTTAGGAAGTTTTATGAAATTAAAGTCAAGTCCTTTTAGGAGATTTAAACACCTGACTTTCTGCCAGACTTCATAAAAGAAACGTAATTATACCTTTGAAGTTCTGTGGGCTGATTTCTTACCAAAAACAGGCAGTTTTAGATTTTTTAGAACAAGCAATGGGCCTGGTACAGACTAGACAGCTCTATTATAGTAATGCATATTATTAAGTCAGCGTGTTTTGTAACTTTTTTAATGGGTTTCTATACTATAATTAGAGATAGCTTAAGACTTTCAGACATAAAAACACTGCTTAGGTAATTGCAGCGCTAATCCTCCATCACTTTAACCTGCCTGACACACGTCTCTCCGTGGGACCGAGCCCGCAGAACATCCTTTGATCCATTTTGAGAATCCCATGATAATGAGACTGTCAAAATAATGTGACTTTGCCTTCAAACAATTTACGATCATTAGCAAAAAGTGGCTTCAAATTCAATTAATCAGTGCTGTTGTCGTTCTAAAACAAAGGAATCAAGTGGATATCTTAAACATTACACACAGTGCGGTACACGGAAGCTGAGGACTACAGCATGCTGAGGATGTGGAGTGGCAGTGAAGTGGCCTACTTATGCTTGATCTGGTGGGAAAAATAAAGAAAGGGTAGCATGAACGGATGCACACATTCTCCTTGCTTTATAAAATGCAACTTTGAAGGCTTGCTAAAGTTGTATGGAGGTGCCAAAAAACCGTTACGACAAATTTTGTTCCTATTTGAAAACAAGGTCATTAAATCCGCGTGAAAAAAATGTTGTTAATATGGCATCCAAAGGACTCTCTGTCTCATCTGTCTTGATTCATAGCAGACATGGATCGTTGCCTCCTTTTGACCCAATTTCTGCGGTAGTAAATTTGAGGGCATCGTAAAATGCAGTGTCTTTCAGGAATGATTATCATCCCAATTTCTAAGCTTTTAACTTCCTCCATTCTGCGAGTCTTTAAATACCTAAAAATGTTTATGCAAATAAAAACCAATTCTGAATATACAGGGGAAGTACTGCACTGTTCGTCTGCACAGATGCTGCCAGATCAAGCATGCATTGGCCTTAGCAACGCTAAATAGACAAATAATACCTGTTGCTGGCCCTGGATCTTCAGGAAGTCCTCTCTTTTGCCACTTTTAGTCTTGTCTGTGCTGTTCTGCTGCAGATGCTTCAGCTTGGAGGCAGCTGAGGAGTGGAGAACCTTACCGACACTGGAATTATGTCCTCCCTGAGAGGAGAATAAAGGAGAAAAGAGCAGAGGAGAGGAGAGACTAAGTATGAATCATACCTCAAGACACACAGTACACGGTTGCACATTTCATTTCTCCTCTACATTGCCTTCAATTTACGCCTCAGACACACATCAACTCGGTGCAGACTCTGATTCCAGAAAGCAAGTCTTTCTCCTGAGACCAATGAGGTTTTTAAGATCTGAGCTTATAGCAGATATAAAACTGAACTATCCACTCCACAGAGTTTCCCCATCCATCAGCGGAAAATGACAAAGAAACAGAATATAGAAACGCAGCATCAAAACTGACGTTGCGTAGCCTCACCGCAGGATCCACGAGGCAGTGTGCTTAATGATCTTTCCTGCTGAGTTGCTCTATCGACTGTCTCTAATACGCACAAAAACAAATACACATTGAGTCAAATTTCCGCCCAACTGTGCCTCTTCTGCACACAGAGACATTAGCCGAAAGGAAAACTAATAAAAGATTTACTGTATTAGAGTCAAATAGCCAATCTTTCCCTACGACAGCAATTCAAGCCAGAAAAGCAATCACCTTCATTCTAAGGCCTTCCTATTCTTAAAAGCTGATTTTTGAAATTCAGACATACAGTAAACTCACTGCTTGAGGGGTGAATCCTCATTTTAATGTGCTAATTAAAACCTGAACTGTAATGGGACATGAGCGTAGGTGGCTTGTCAGTGCGAATTTGGTAAGAGCGCTCGCAAACGTCGGACAAGAGTAGGAAGAGGGGGTCATGTTGAAATGATGAACGTGCTTGAAGTTGGACTGATGAAATAATGTGTGAAGACTCTGTAATCTTCAGCCATGCCCACGGGAATGCTTCCTGGCTCTACATCAGAGGGCTAAAACTCACCATGACAGTGTGACTGTCAAGTATTGCAGCCTTGCCCTGAGTGGGAGGCTACATTCAGAGCAACAGGGAATACTACGCAGGCTGTCAAGACACCTCGGTGAAGTGGCAGCTGACATAAGAAGACTGTAAGTCAAATCTTTTGTTGTGTTGCGGTCAGCTGGAGGTGAGTTGAAAACTGGCTCTGCGCAGTATCTGCTAATGGAGTTCAACACACTGTCATTTGATATTAACATGAAGCAAATTAGATGTGGTATTTGGCTTTGGTATAAGATATAGACTTCTGTCCTCACACAGGTTTTGATTGTGCAGGTTTTTTTTTACTCTTTTAAGATTTTTATTGACTTGAATTTCCTCTAAAAAATGTTCTATCATCTTAATTATATTTTAACCTGACCCTTTTTGCATTGTGTGTGCAATTATATTGCACATATATTGATACCGTCTAATGTAAAATGTGCCCAAAGCTTGTTCAAATAAAGTCCCAGGTGTACAAGGTTTTGCTCAAAAGTTGATTTCAAGGAAAAGCAAAGAAAGAAGTCAGATATTTACTTGCCAACAGAAATGGCAAGCAAAGAAGAGAAAAGGACAAGAGGAAAATAGAAATGTTATTTATGTTATTTTTTATTGCCTGTCTGGTAAAACAAAACGTGAAATTAGCTAGATTCACAGGGAGAAAACAGATGCCAGGACAGATCGATGAAGACACAGTTAACAACTCTGTGCTCGACAGGACAGCAGCTCCAGCACTAATCACAGAGCAGACAGGCAGGTAGGAAGTCTGTTGTCTGTCCCCTCTACATATTTTCAATTTCAGACGCAATTAGATGCCGATTTAATCGGGGAGCAGACATCAGAGGCTTGAAAGTGAAGTTCCAAGAGACATCCGCAGGGAAGAAGTGAAGAAGGAAAACAGAGCATGCTGCTTCAGAGCAAGAATCAGCACAGCGGGTGTGAGAATGAACCTGGATTGGTGCTGTGCTCGGCGTTGACGGTTTGGGTGGGACTGGTGGCTTCTTGGTCACCGAGGTTGGACTCTGAACAGGAGTACTGTTGGCGGTTGTTTCAGAGTAGAGCTGCTCTGTTGTAGGATGTCCACTGATCTCTATCAACGTGTTCTCCAGCTCTCGAATAGTCTCCTCCAAGCTGTCCAGCCTCATGAAGGTGTTGCGTCTGATATCTTCTCCCGTTCTTTTACGACTGGTGAGACTGTCCACAGAGCCAAGTAACCCACTCGACTCATGAGTGAGGCTCACTGGACTCTGTTGTGTAGCACTAATTTCAGTTGTGTGTTGAAGTGTCACAATGCTCTCCCCTGTCTCCATCCCTCTCCTCAGAGCCTCCACTAGTGAGCTCTGCTGGCCTGAGTGGTGGGACGATTTCAATCTGGGTTTGGGAACCGGTTTGGGCGACTCCAGAAAGGAATACAGCAGCTTGTAAGCATCTCTGACAGTTTTTTCCTCCCTGAAGAGCACTAGGACAGGCCGCTCACTCAGCTGGACCTCAGAGACTTCTTCAGTCTGTGGTGAGATGGTTAGAATCTGTAGAACTTCCCCTGCAGTCCTGCTGAGCTCATGGGCCTCGAGGGGAGACACCACCCTCACTTCCAGCTCTGTCAGCAGCAGGGCAACTTCCGGTTTGGATTCTACATCCAAACAACTCTGCTCCCGCTGAGGAGGGCTTTGAAATCCCTCTGAATATCTTCCCCTTGAAATTATGGTCTCATAGGCCACGTGGTGACCAGTCCAGTCTCGTGATGGACTCTCCTCTAGAGGTTCATTTGCTAAATCTCTGACAGGATCCTCTGAGAAAGTGGGTGAAGCTGTTGAGCACTCTGTCAACACGATGTGGGGGACAGGAGACAAGTGCCTTCCCTATAAATAAAGAGAGCACTTGAGGTTTAAATTTTGTCATATGGAGCTGGTCACATCTACAGCACAGTCCCAGCAGAAACTTCAACACAGCAAAGAGGAAAGAAGGAAGGAGTGTTATCAACTTGTATGTGATGTACATCTAGAAAATGCTCTCCTAACCCTCTGAACCCCAAAACACGCCAGCGGGTTTAAAAGGCATGTTGTGTGTTTGAGAAAAAAAACATCACTAAAGAAGCCACACATTGTAAAAAATAAAAACATAAAAATCAGAGGATGTCTAACTTTCTGATGGTTCTTGAACTTCTCATCTGTGACATTCGGTTCCATTAGAAAAATTAACCAAAGATAAGCTACATTTCAGATTTAAAAATTTAGCAAAAACAAACCATTCGCACAAATAGAATTTGATCAAAAACTACAAATTCTGCAATTCTTGGAGAAACTGAGAAGCCATTGCTGACTCAGCTGTGAGCAACAGTCATGTGACAAAAATTCAGGGAGTTTTCATGCTGAACTGCAGGCTGTGCTTCCACAGAGCAGAGAGGAGAAAAACGTGGAAACAAATAAAAAATGTGAATAGTGAATAGAAACACCCAGAAACAGCTTGGTGTTCAGAGGGTTAACATAAACACAGAACGTAAATATGTGTGGGACTTTTACAGTTACCAGACTGCTGATTGTACTTTCTTTAACTGGCCCCCAGAAACACTGCAACATCACTGCACAAAACAGTCACACCTCATGCTATTGTGAAGAGCTGTTGGCATTCATATACACCAACTGCATGTGCAAAGGATGTGTAAACCTTAGCAAAAAAGATTATTGCTCAGAAAATTATCACCCAACTTCATGGAGTATTTCAGCTTTTTTTAGTTCATTGTTTTGGCCTTAGCTTTAAGGTTGAATCTCACAGTTGTCATCATCTGCATTACCAACAATTAATTCTTTCCACTACCTAAGAAGAGACAAAATTAGCAATAAGTTGTTAAAGAAAATTTAGCAACTATACTAAAATGCAGATACTTTCATCAGTTTAAGCCAAAAAAATGCAATTACTCAACTGTATTGTGTATGTTCTCTGTGAATTTTTGATTGCAATTGCTTAAGAACAGCATGTTTTCCCATCGTCAACATAAAGAGACACAGGAATGAGCATCTACAGACATGAGATTGAAGAGACAGCAGGAGTTCATGAGGTTGGCTAAAAGCTGAGCAGTCGCTGGTGAATTGTGTGTGGTAGTGAGGTTAGAAAGAGCAGAGAACGAGGCTTAACAGGGCAAGACTCCACATTGCTCAGGGTCAGCCAGAGTGTTACCTGAGTGCCTGAGGCCTCAGGTGGCCAAAGGTCCGGTCTGGAGGGGGGTACACTGTTCCTGCTGCATGGTCTAACAGGCAGGGAAAGTGATGGGGGAAAAGAGAGCCTGAGCGGGGCTCTCTCAAACAGCTAGGGAGGGAAAAGGGAGGTTCAAAAACAGCCATCAATTGCGAGATAAAAAAAAAAAACACAACAGCCACTGAATAATTAAAATCAGTTACTGTTGACTCTTTGTTCCATCAAATTTGAGGCAGGCCATCTCAAACACAGCCCAAGCAGCTATCAGGGTCCATCTGTCTGGCTGTGATCTGTGAGCCCTGGGTGATGATGTGTGTGACTGAGCAGTATGTGATCTTTGGGCTCTCCCAGTGCCACGGGCAGGAGGACATATGGCACCTGCTGCTTGAACATGTGGTAACGATGGTGAGCATATCTGCACACAAACCGTGTGCATGTGCGCATGCAACAACCGGTGGCAGATTGTGGATATAATATAAATTATTCTAAAAAAGTGCAGTTTTCCCATTCGTTGAACAGCAGACTATTTATGTAGGCTGTAATCAACATGATGGCACAATCCGGGTTTCATTTACCTCCAATTCGGCAGCGATTTTCTCCTCCTCTAACTCCTCCTTGTCCCCAGAGGCCAGTGTTGGAGGTGTAGACGCAGGACGAGGGTTTTCAGACACGGTCCTCCTCAGTTTTACGTGAGGCTTCTGGCCCTCAGTCTCTTCAGATTCACATTTCTGGAACGTCAAAAACAAAAATAAGCTTTTAACTTCTCTTAAGCCAGTGTCAGAAGTTTACAACTTCAATATTTTATTAAGAAGCAAACAACATTTTGATCCATGTGCTATATTATACAAATTAACAGATAAGCTGACATCATCTTCTCTGTATACGGGAGAGATAATGTGTTGATTTGTAGATTTGAGGAGGATTAAAATGTCCATCTGTCAGTAAAATGCAGAGTATTAGAGTGATAACTGAGGATGCTTGTGAATTTTCAGTGCTGTTACCTTTATGCTTTTTCCAGGAATTAGTGGCTCTCCGCTGCGAGTGGTCAGACCTGGAGAAGAAGGAAAACTGCGTCTCGGAGGTGGAGGTGGAGGAGACTTGGAGGGTTTCTCTGTGCGATATCGAGGTACTGTCAGCTCATCTGGAAGAGAAAGTAGCACAGCTGTTTTAAGAAGAAGCAACAGTGTTTTCAAAACGTTATCATGCCTCCAGATGCCATACAGGTTATATTTAGTGGGTAAAACTGAACATACTGTACATCTCCTGGTTTTCCTTTGCTCTTGAAAACTTGTCAATTTGAAAGAGAATAGCTTGTATCAGACTGATGTACTGAACTTCTTATCTCACCAGAGCCACGCCTGGATCCTCCCTCTCTTCCAGAAAGCTTGTGCTGGGGCTTGCTGGCACGGTGCTCTGGGGTCGCTGCCCCACTCTGGGGGTTTTGGGTGGACGGTGTGTTGGACGAGGGCTTGATCTGCTTTGCAGCAAAGTCCAGGTCTGGAATAGCTTTCATCAGCTCAGCCTGGGTCTCCTCCAGCAGCCGGTTGATGTCCTGGGCGCTGTACTGGGTTAGACTGGCTCGCTTCTCCTCCCAGTCTCGCTCTGCTGCCTGTGAAGTGGACAAGAGGATCTAAACACTTTGTGCTGTGTTATGATATGATTTGTGATTGCACAGTAGGTGGTAAAAAGATAAAAAACAAAATGCAGAAATCATTCCTACCAGTCGGACTTCGACGGACAAAGCTTTGTCAGCAGCAGCACGGCGCTCCAGCTCCTCCAGAGCTTTGCCCTTGTGGGGGACAGGAGGATGATTGTCCTTGTGAGGGCCGGATGGGTTACCGTGAACACGGCTGAGGCTGGAGTGAGGGCTCCAATTGGACAGGCTGTTGCCTCCCCCAAGGTCATTGATGGTGAGAGGAGGACTGGTGGGGATGTCAAAGTCTGCAAATTTTCGCAAGTCCTCATTGTGCTTTGATGAAGGACTGGAGAAGTCCTCTTGCTTCTTCCATACTCCCTCATTTGCTTGTCTGGCAAGAAATGGAAGATGAATTAATTAACCAACTCTTTGAAATGTTACACAAACAAAAACATGAATTATACATGACTCAAAGTGGAAACAATTGTTGATGAATGCTGAAAACATCCTCCCAAAAAAACCTCCAAACACTGAGGGGCGTAAACTTTATCTTATACTGAATGAATTCTCCAACTTACTTTTTCCCACAAAGATGAGAGAAAAAAACCCAAAAGTAATTCTGATGAGCTCTTTTATCAGTGAGATTAATTAAACCAGAAAGTGAGATGCTTTTTGGACACAAGGCTGATTAGAAGATAGACAATGAAGTGCTGAAGGGCGAATTTTAGTCCACACTCACCATAAAATCAAAAATCCATTATTCATGTGACTGAAAAGGGCCTTCATCGGGGCGTCACCCAATAACGCCGGTTAATCACAATAACACCAGCAGCTTGAATGCATGCTTAAGGATTGTTTTTTTTTTCTTTTCACACTGGGTGATTTTTAATCATTTCTGTATCTCTGATAGTTTCAGAGCTTTGGCATAAAAACAATAAAATGCTTAATGGTGAAAATCTCTGATCTGAATCATCAACAATATCTAATCAATTTTCTTTGGTCCAAAGCCTGTCTGTCTGCCACATTTTATGAAAATCCATAATGTTCTGCTAAAACAAAAACAAAGAGGGGTACAAGCACAATGTCTCTGGCAGAGATACAAATGGAAAAGTCTTGTCCCAATTGATTACAGATGGATGCATTTTCACATTTGCTAATGTTGGATATATTTCACTGTGTCAAAAAGTATTATAATTTATTGGACAAACACTTCCTCACTATTTCTAGGATTATTTCTAACTGAATGTAAGAACAGCTTGTCAGAATTCAGCACATTTTACAAACTGGCACATGAGCTGTAATGTAGGTACAGTTGCTCCGTCAGAGCAGGTTCATACTTGCGCATGGTGGCAAGGGTGTCGGTTATAGTCTTGCAGCGTTTTAACAGGGCATCCAGTCTGTGTGGCTCTTCCTTAAGGAATTTCACGGCCTCCACTTCCACCCTGAGCACCACCCGCATCTTACTCTGCAGGCTGGGGAATTGATCTGCAGCAAAACAGCAGAGAAGCAACAAAGGAAACCAACTGTGCTCCCATAAACACATCAATTCAATTCAAGGATGCTGAAAGCCCGTTGTGTTACTCAAACAATAAAAAAAAGTTTGAACCACCGCAAATGGTCAGGGAGTTCATTAAGACAATAAGCAATCCGAGACTGATTAAATGTTGCAGATGAGCTGTGGGTGACTAAAAGATAATCAGTGCCTTGGTGAGTAATTATATTATAAACTGCCTGCCAGGGTAAAAGACTGCGTTTTCAGCTTTGCGCCTGTGCAGAGAATGTGAAATGTGCCAGCGTGACTCACTTTTCAGCTCTGTCAGTGTTTCTCCCAGCTTTCTCAGAACAGTGGCCTTCTCCTCCAGCTCCTGCACTGTCACCAGCTTGTGGTTGACAGACGACTCCTTCTGGATCTCCTCCACTGACTTCTCCAGGTCGCTGAGATGGAACAGACAGCAGGCTGAACACCAGGGATTCCTCCACTACACTTTTACTGACGAAAATTATGTTGTTCGAGTTTCTGTAAAACTTCTGCCAATAAACTGTCTCTCAATCAACTGGGAGCTAGATACAGCTGGGCAGCTAAACCGGATTTGGTGTTTAAAAGTCACAGAGCCACTGAGAAAGAAAAAAAACTTTTCAAAATAGGTGTTCATTGTGCCTTTAAGAACAGAGAATCTATGCAAATATGAGCTCTAATGTCGAGCATGTGTCTGCTCGCGTCAGACTTTTGTCAAATAAGCCTGCCTCGAGTTACGTAATGAATTAAACTTCTATATATAATTAACCAAAATAATAGTCGGCTGCCACTAGCCAGGCGGAATAGCAGACATCAATTAGCAGAGATCATTCAGCAGTTCAACCAATTATTCCAAATATCCAAATGCCGGTCAGAGTGAGATTGGAGAACTCTTCTGCCACTCACAGAGAGATCCAGGAGTTATTACCACAGTGAATATTTCCACATTTGAGACTGAAGCAAGTTATCTGATTATTAAATCTCAAGGTAGCTTTCTGCGCTCTCATTTTGCAGCCACTTTAATTAGTTGCTGGACAGTTTCATACCTCAGATCTTAATAAGCATCTTGCTCTACGCCGGGTTTAATTACAGTTACAATTTCATCATATCACTGTGTCATCCTGCAAGTCATTTAATTGTACAGCAGATATGAACATTGTTATGTCTGATGCAATTATAAAATACGTGGGAAAAACACACCTTAACCTGCTGACAACTTATATATTCAATACACTAATCAAACACCAACACTGCTGGGAATGATTGAAGATAAATGCCTGAAAAACTCACTGCGTGAAAAAAAAATTGTTTAAAATGGGTTGAAGGGTCATTTAAAATAAACCTTGCAAAGTATTTTAGATATAAAGCTAAAACGCCACAATTATTTCCATAAATAGCCACATTTTATGCTATAAAATGCTCAGTCAAACCAGAGACAGTCCAGAAAAAATAGTTATAAAAAGTTGATTTTAAATGGAGTGACCCTATTATTGATTTAAAAACAGAGGATTTACCAACAGGTTGAGCACTTGGACAGTCATGTACTGCTCCACAGCTTTTTACATGATTAGATTTAAAAAGAAGTCTTTTGCTGATACTGACTGGAGCTGCTGAATGATGAGCTCCTCCTCATTCAGGTACTTGAGTCTCTCCTCCTCCACCAGGAGGCGCTGTCTCTGCAGAGGATCCTCCTGCTTCCTCAGGGCGTCGGCCACGCGCACATTCAGCTCCGCTTCCGTCCGTTTCAACAGGGTTCGCACTGAATCCTGATTCTCAATCTGCTCACACACACACACACACGGTCAGACACAACATTACAGGTGTACATACACAGTGTAGGCTGCTCATACTTCAGCGAGGCATGTTATACATTTTGAAAGTACTTGGAAACAAATTAGATCAATGTTAGCCTTGTTGGCCTTTGGAGAATAGCTTGTTGAAGTTATGAAATCTGCTTTTACAGCAATCGCAAAATAACAATTTGACATCAAAGAGGAAAACTGGAGCCCACTAAGGCTTCGCAAAGTAGACTACAATGATTTGCAGCAATTGCACACTCTGATTTGCCCCGTCCTTGAGAGGGCAGACTGTGGCTTTTATATCTCTCCTGCCTTGTTATGCGAGAAGAACATTTTTGCACTATCCTCCACTGCCTATGAGGTTTCCAGTCACTGCTTGTACTGCGGTGAATGGTCTTGAAAGCTCGCTGTGGTGCCCTGTGTGTGTATTAGCATGTGCACATAACATTTCTCCAAACACAGATAGCTGGGACGCCCCGAGGAAAAACGAAAGACGTCCACAACAGAGGCACTGAGCGTGAACTCCGCTCCCTCGCAGTGTTATGAATGGAATATTCTACAGGACTAGTGCTTGTAATACAACTCCCTGAGATGAAATCACCTGGCAAGCAAGAAAGATTAATAATTGATCAGCCTTATGTTCTAGGAAGTGAAGCAAGACAACAATATCACTAACATTTATAATTACCCAGGATTCCCCCGCTATACTGCCGGCAGCAATGATGCATATGCACAGGGATGAAAGTAAGGAGTGAGGTAACATATTAAAAAATATTTTACATATTCAGAAAAAGACGTTTTACTTTTTCTTCTTTTATCTTGCAGTGCTGTGCTCCTTCTCACTCAGCTGCCTGTCTCTTCCTCACACTCCCTTCCTGTATAATTCATGAGCCACATGTAAAATTGAAGCTGCTGGCCATCACCACGGGCAACAGAACGAACCCAGGGGCAGAGGTCACACTCGGACACGCAGGCATGTAAACGTTAAACTGTCCTCTCTGGGTACATCACAGTCAGAGAAACCCTCGCGACTGCTGTCATGGAACAAATAAAAGCTACGCACATCCATCATGTCTTGCTTCCATTAATCCTTCTTTCCTCTTTTCGCGCAACAAACTCTCACCATTTCATCATCTCTTCCTCATTCCTGCAACAGTAACCATGGCACCACTTGCATCAGAGATAAATGAATACATAACGGCCTCAACTGTGCATTTTTTTTTCTTCATTCCATCCTTGTGACATTCTGTGTAACGCTGCAGCCACCGTGACAACCTGCATCTTTGTAGAACAGCACAAGATGTGAACGAAGCTTTTATCTCTCTATCTGATTATTAATCCTCAAACGACATCATGCCCTCAATGTGTCATGCAGTACAGCTATGCAGGTGCTATTTACTATAGGTGCTGTATTGAAGTGAAGATCAAACAAAATTCAAAGCTCTTGCACACTGTGCATTAACAGCTGTATGTACAAAGTAGACAATTCAATGAAATGTAACCCTCTTGTACAATGTTGAGGTGATTTAGGGACCAGTGCAAAAGTAAACTACATGTAGATTGCACAGTGCAGTCTAACAATGTCAATGACTTGCTTTTTATCCGTTTTCTACAAAAGGTGTGTCAACAATCAAATAGGAAGGACACAGCAAAGAATCGTACCTTGTATGTCTCTCAAACAAATCAAGATAAAGCCAGTTCACTTCAATTAAAATGCCTGAACTCATCTCAACCAGATTTCTGAAAAAAAAAACCCACTGAGCCTGCTGTCAACAATTTTCTTTTGCATTCCTTTCTTCAGTAGAAAGTCTTCAATAGCAACTATTTACGAGACTGTGGATTATGCAGAGTCATCAGGACATCGTCTCGGATTCTTTTTTTTTTTTTTTTAATGTATATTTTGAATGCTTTGAGCACAACAAACAAATTTCCATTTGCTTCCATTTCATCGAGTTTGGGAGCAGAAACCTTTGGAAAGCTGATTAGTTCATAATTGCTCTCCTTTTCCCTGCCCTTTGATGCATTATACCTCGCTCAATACAATTTTAATATTTCTGGCTGTCATTTACAAACACTGTTGCATCAACAATTGCATCAACCTCGGTTTAATTTTCTTTCTTTTGACCCTCCTTTCATTGTGGATTTTTTTCAAAGAGTTTCAAAAGGATGACAGGATACACAGGTGTACGTGTAAATGACATGAAAATATGGGTAAAAGGTACAGAGTGGGGCATAAAGCTGCATGCACAAAAGCAGACTGTTATTTTCCATTACAATGTACTAAGAGTTTTAAAATCTTGAATAGTAGCAAAAGAATCATGAACTAGAAAATCATAGAAATATTTCAAAAGGCCAAAATGTTTGCATGGTTGGATCCCACAAGTGGCTGATAAGAATGTTGTTTTTCCCCACCCTAAATTAAAAGAAAATACAGTTAAAAGAAATACATAAATGGCTTCTTAATGGTGGACATCATCTACCTGTATCTTGCGTAGTTGGGTGAGCTGCTTGCGCAGGTCAGTTGCATTTTGCTGCAGCCCGTGCAGATGGAGCTGCATCTGCAAGCGGCCAACGCTGTTCACCTGGCTCATGTTAGAAGGTGGCGGCGGCATCAGAGCTAGGGGTGCTGACGGCGTGTGAGCTGCCAATCACAGAGCAGGACACGGGGATCACCGGGAGGTTGGCGGGAAACAAATTGGTTAGTTTGCTGGGCTTTTGCTCCGGTGAGATTTTGCAGCCAGCCAGCCAGCACGTCACACAGAACAAACAATAGCACGCACACTCTCAGCATAAGGGCCCAAAGAAACGTACATATATAGAAAATATACAAAGAAAAAGCACCATTTTTTTAATTTCACAGATCTTCCAATAGTCCACTGGGAGAAATGTGAGCTCATGCTATTAGTAAAACTCAGAGAATTAGTTAATTCAGTCGTGACACACAGGGATAACCATGCTCTTATCTATAACACAGGCCTTTGTGAGTATGGCCATTGACCAGCCAAGATATTCAACCATACATACTCAAACACACTCACAAAGGAGTGTCCAGTGTGTGACAGAACAAACCTCGGAAATTACCAAAGGAATAATCAAGCAGAAATTGAAAAAAGTGTAGACAGAAACAGGACGAAAGGGGAGAGTCCGCTCTCTGGGGAAACCAACCGGGAGGAAAACAAGAGAATAGACACCGCCAGCTACCCAGCAACACCACACACCCATACAGAGGGCAGAGAGCCATGAGAGATGTCTGATAGGAGAAATAAAAAAAAAGGGTGATAGAGTAGGAGATGACAACTACCTTTCTGCTTCAGCCGTCCAGCTGGAATGTAGAAAGAGTGAGCCGAGAAATTAATGAGAGGTGATAGAGAGACAAAGAAGGAGAGGAAAGTCTTAAAAAGTTCATTTTTTATGAAGTGATGATCCCGGAGAACATTTTATTGACTACAGCAGAAACACGGACTGTGGTGACGGTTTAGTCCTTTGGCAGGGTGCCAATTTGTGAGGAAGCTTGAAAAATAACTGTATCTTTGAGCTGACCCCTTGAAGGTCTGGCATCGGAAAAGGTTTGTTTGTGCCAGAACTGTGCTGCAAGATTATAGACAGGCGAGAGGAAAAAAAAAAAAAACAGGAAAGAAACAGGGTTCACCCAGTATATATAAGCTGCACATGTTGTTACTGTTTCACAATTCCTGGCTGAAAAGCATTTTTTGTGAGTTAAATAACAGTCTGATCGTTTAAAAATTAGATTCAAACATGAAATCCAATCTCCACACACCCAGTAGAGTCTAAAGTGAAGAAATAAACCTTCAAACTCCTTCAAAGCTCTGTCTTATTACCTCGCCCAGGAGGTTCTGTTTACAATTTAGTACGTTTGTCTGTTTATTTAACACCTTTCAAAAGCTCCAATGCTGCTGCGTTTTTCTCTTTCTGACTGAGCGATGCCAACAATTCCCCATTTGCTTCTAGTATTTATGCTTAGTGATTTACAAAACTCAAAGCTGGATAAATTGAGATGAAATTAATGCTGATTTTCTCATCTGACTGAGTTGAGCAATTCTCCAATGTCCTTGCCAGGCAATGGACCACTCTCCTTTAAAAGCTTAGACTGGCCTTAACAGTTCTATTCAGTGGATTTGACCAGCATTTCTTTTTGCCATAAAATGGTTGAATGAGTCATTTGGAATTTAATAGTTGGAGAAAAACTAAGATAGTGAAAGAGAAATAGAAAAAGAGAAAGAGATGAATGAGGTGGAATTAAAGGTTTTGAATACTTAACCTGTTTGGTTTGGTTAAACCAAACCGTTTTCCTATTTTGTGCAGTTTAATTTGGGCTGCTAGAAGAAAGCAGTTTATGTGAATTTGCATGATTTCAAAAGCTGAGCAACTGATAAATCAATTTGCTGATTGTGAGTTGTTCAGAAAGAAAAGAAGAAAAAGCAAAAGACTAAATTTCAGAAAATCTGTACAACCATCGTAGGTTTTAAAATTATGCAAATTATTTTGTACCCATGGTAACATGTATCCAAAGTAGTTTAAACTGCAGTTGGTGCATTGTGTGTTATGTTTAGCCTAATAAAAAGTGGGCACTAAAGCGTTCCCACTACAGCTGCAAAACTACAATTAATTATTATTTTTTTAATTATCAGGATATCATGGTGGTAATTGAATAACCGGTTTAGTCATTTGGAAACCAAAAGAGCCAAACATTCCTTGGATCCAGCATCAGCAGTTCCAGCAAAGCACCTGATGCTCCATCAAAGGTAGTTTCATATTTTGGGGGATTTTTTTCTGCTAGTCAGACTATATAATTTTATGTTTACAGCTCTTGGTTTGTTTGTTAAAATTCAATGTGAACACGACGAGACCAGAACTAATAGGCATCAGTGTATAATTTTCTCCCCTGATCTCGACCAAGTGAACCGAACTACAGGTGTGAAAGCATCAATTACCAACTCAACAATTCTGAGGCTGTGTGCCAAATCGCATACTTTTCGTTTTCCCCTTCCGTACGTACCACAGCTGACTTTACAAAGTACATTCTGTTGCATGCAGTATGCAGACTTTGCAGACTGCTTTGTCATAATATTAGGCCTTAACATTTGACTGTCTTGCTAATATATCCATCGCAGTCTGTTGTACAAAACGAGCTGTCATCTGTCTGGGTCCTCTCAGCTGCTCAAGCTTGTATTTTACTCATGTGAGGCACAGTGATGTATGCAACGCAACTGCACAGGGGACTGTGGGTCAGAATGGAGAGTTTTTCACAAAAATTATACAAAAACTGGACATCCAAACTGCATTTGACATAATGTGTATTGGGGCATTCTAAATCTTTGTTTGGCACGCTATATTCCACTGTAGTATCCGTATTAGAACACACTCTGAATTACATAAAGACACAGTTGATTCATCCATGTTGTCAAATTTCAATAAACTAGCTTTAAACCAAGAGGTCAATTTCTAAACAGAGATCAGCACAGGGGGGAAAGGCAGTGTTAGTAATGGGTCAGTCCACAGATCACAATTACCCAGCTCTACTCACTTCCAGTGGCGGAGCCGTCACTGTTGGTTTCGGTCTTCTCGCTGGAAGAGAAAGGTAATGGCCGTGAAAACTCCGTCCCTTGGTCCGGAGGGCAGCCCGCCATCATGCAGAGACGCAGCAGGCCGCATCTGAGGATCAACGGCCACAGGGCAAGGCAATTACAGTGCTAACACTAACGGCACCACTACTGGACACTATCAGACTGATTAACAAGTGATCTGCTTGTTAATGAGCCCCTACTGTGTACATGAGGGTAAAGTGGGATGACAACAATGGGCACTGCTACCAAGTCAAAATCTATGTCCGTGTATCAGTGCACGGATAAACAGCACAGCGCCCTAATGCTTTGTGGTCTGTGCTTGAACACAAAGGTAATGTACCACTTCACAGCTATGCAGCTGATAATGGCTCTGATAATAGCCTGCCACTGTTCCTGTCGATAATGTGTCTGATCCAAAGCTGTATGTGTGACTTTTAGAGGGTTAATGGGCTATAATGGAGAGTCTTACGTGCTGTCGCTATCTGGTGCTCTGGTCAGGACGCTTTGGACCAGGCCAGTCAGGCTGGCTATCTGCTTCTCCATGGCCTCCATGCGCTCCAGGCGATGATCCCTTTAAAAATGGAAACAAAACACTTAATTCTGCACAAATAAAGACATGGATGAAGATTTGGAATACATGCAAATGGACAAAGGCCAAACATTTTTATCTGATGCACAGCTCTCTTCACTTCCAAGCGGTGGAAAGAGCACAAGCAAAACAAATATTGCAATTTCTAATGCCTTTCTGTAGATGTCATCACTTACAAAAAAAGCTGATTTGTGACTGTAGGTCTGAGGATATTTTGAGAACAGTACAAATTGATACAGACCTGCTAGTATCTGCGTCTTGTCCAGATAATGAAGAACCAAAACCAGGCATGGTCCTGCTGCCCTCTCCAGGTCCAGCTGTTAGACACAGAGGCTCTGAACTGGAGCTGGGCCTCGACTTTGGGCTCTCGACGAACACAGAGGAGGAGGCGGAGTCCTTGCGGAAAGACTGCCTGACAGGTGAGGCCCTGGGTGAGCTGGAATACGAGTCCCTGTCCCTCAGCTGCATGTCAGGGATTTTCTGGGGGGATGAGGGCGGCATGCGAAAACCCATGCCCAGAGTGGCCGAGGAGTATGTGTCAGAGTACAGCGAACCTCCGGGCTTGTAAAGAGAGTCCTCCAGGTCCCCCTGAAGAGCAGCAGCCGAGTAGGTGCTGAGGGAGCGCACAGAGCCACGGCGGTACAGGCCAGTGGACACGGGGAAGCTAAAGGGGTCTCCGATGGCAGCTAATGACTGGGTGGAGGCAATGCTGAGGCGACCTTCGTTCATCAAGCTGTAGGGATCTGCATACAGCCCCTCGTTCTTCATCAGTGCCATGTTTTTTGCAGAAACTTCTTCATCAGGCTTGACGTCGCGGCGCTCCAGGATTGCGCTGGGCGAAGGAGACAGGCCTGCGTTGGCACCGTGGCCGGCTGAGGGATGGTGGGGATGTCGGGGTTGCTCATGCTGGGGATGGGACCCGGCGAAGGATGGAGGGCGGCCGCCGCTGTAGGAGAGGCGTGAGCGGGACGGAGAGCCGGAGGACGCCGAGGCTGTGGAGGAAGGGAGGGTGTTGAGGCGACGCGTTGGAGAGGAGTCACGGGAGGAATACACCATTTCCCTCTGAAAGGAACAAGCAGGGATGAGAGTTACCATGGAGACCCACGGATTAGCGTGCTGTGTTTCCCATGTGTCAGCTGCACACAAAGATGACTTAGATCTGACAGAAACTAGACAGACTGTTGCAGCCTGCAGATGCCAAAAGAAGATGAGGAATTTCTCAAAAGACCAATTATTGATCATAGAATTTAGTCTCTAAAACTTTTCTTGGTTGTAATTAGTTATTTATCTCAGATAGAATAAATAAAAAAGGACGTGTTCTGGCCAAAATGGAAAGATTTTGGAAGATAACACATCCCAAAATCTGTGTTTATATTTACAGCAGAGTGGTGACAGGATGCAGGAGACAGAGTTCGACCTCGCCATCATTCAAAGGGAAACAAGTGCAATAAATTCATGTTCACCATCTTCAGCTGAGCTTTTCATTTTCCTCTTCCTGACTTTCTTTGTCGAGCATCATAATATTATTACACATGCACCTGTGCTTTTTCTCCCCAACCCACCTTGGCCTATTCTCATGCTGTGGATTAACTCCTGTCAAGATTTTTCAGAAGCGTTCAAATGCCAAATAGAAATCTGCTTTTCCCTGTCACATAACTGCTTTTGTTGCAAAACTCATATCTGTCTATCTTCTTTTCATTCGCTTCTCTGCATCCAAGCTAATAATGTAAAATACACAGAAGATTTTGGAGCAAGACAGAAGACTGTGAGCTGCTGAAAATTCATGCCCAGGATCAAATTCATATATATACATACACATGCATATATATATATGTATATATCCCACCCCCTTCCCCCCTCATCCACATTCTCACCCCAACCAGTTGAGGCAGATGGTCGCCTTCCCTTAACCTGGGTCTGTCTGAGGTTTTTTGTTTGTTTGTTTTTCAACCTGTTAAAGGTTTCTTTTTTGGTTCCTTCCCATCGTCGACAACTGCTTGCTCATAGGAAATCCAAAGACAACTTTGGATTGTTGGGTTCTTTGTTCTTTGTTTAAAAGTCATAAGGTCTTCACCTTGCTAAGTGAAGTGCTATGAGATGACATATGTTGTGAATTGGCGCTATATGAATAAAATGCAATTGAATTTAATACATACATACATATATATATATATATATATAAACCCTGTATAGACACAATGTAAACAAGAATAAAAACAAATAAAAATACAACTTGAACCTTAAGTTACCCAAAAAAGAAAGCACCAAACAGAGAGCATACACAGGAGCAAAGAAATGGCCAAATGCTTGTTAAGATTCAGCTTGCGTTTAGTCCCCAACAGATATAAAGACGAAACGGCTAGTGCATCAAACACTCAATCATGGCTGTATTTCCTGCCATCAGATGGAGCTTGAGGCTGTATTAAAACGTAAAAATGCTTTAGCAGTTTATAGGTGCTGGTCGGCCATCTATTTACCTCATTTTCTTTTTGGGTTTCTTGCATATACAGGTACAAACATGCATGCAAACATGGACGCAAACAAAACAGATGGTGCAGTACATGCGCACAGAACATGCACGACACAATCGTTTTACACTGCCTGTTTGCATGGTTAATAGCAGTTGCGTTCTTAGTATTGTGTGAATAATGCAGATGGTAAGCAGGGTTTTGTATAAAATAATTAAAAAAATATCTCCCTCAGGCTTCCTTGATCTTTACTGAAGCAGAAATAGCTCCGAATGTTAAAATATGCTCATTTCACAGAGGAACATTGTTCTCTGGTGTCTGCACAGCAACAGATGGCCTACTTGAAGATAAGAAAATGCATTTCCAGGAGGAATACCTGTTAAATTGCTAACCCAAATATACCGCAATAGCCTGTCAAAGTTACCATTGAAATAAAAAAGAAAAACAGAAAAAAAAAGAAAAAAACACCATTACCTTGCTAAAGATGCACACCAATCCTCTTTATGCAGAGGCACAGTATTATAGAGGTTCTCACTGCCAGGTCAGTTGTCAAACATCCAATTTGCAGGAGATCAGACACTATTTTTTCTCTACAATAACCCTGTTTGCCCTGTTCAACCTCCCAGCTCCCCTCCGCTCACCCTGAGGTCTCCGTTAGCCAGGTGTGCAGCAGCTGGGTAAGAAGCATAGATGGGCTCTTTGCGGTAAATCTTGATGATGCTGCGATCCTGAATGTCTCGGACGTCTTCCAGCTCATAGAAGACGTTGCGCGCCTCGTCCTTGATCAAGATGGCCGTGTTGGGCGACTTCAGCATACCTGCTGTCAACTTCTGAGGGAACATGTGCACGATGAGAGCGTGCAGCGTGTCCAGGCTGCTCAGCTCGTGGGTGATGTGCACCCGACGTGTCTCATCTCCATACTGCAGGAACAGCACGCCTAGAAGAGACCAACAAGGGGAAGACGGCTGAGTTTGAAGTCGTTGGCTTTAGCGGATGGAGAGACTAATGCTGTGAAATCTTGTGCAAGCTACAGTGTGTGTTGTCTCTTGGCGTAAGAGATGTAGATAATAACTTTTATCACCAGATGCAATGAGCAGGTATAAGCACTGACAGAGGAGCAGAGAAATTCTATCTTTGTGAATGTGAGAAAACACAGCTTGAGTGCAAAAGATGCATGCGCAGGTTGAATTTTTTACAACTACTACTTTGATATTACTCCAAATAGCTCAAAAATAGCCCCACTTCTTAGAGAATTTCTGGGAGATTGTGCAACCGTTGTATTTCATAGAGATAAATGTGTCTGATGCCTGACTAACCTGAAAATTCATCTTCATACATCATGGGACAAACAAAAAGAACACAGCAAAGAAAGACCAAGAATTAAAAGTCAGGCAAAGTTAGTGAGACTCTACAAACAAGTTGGGGAGAGAAGAAAACAAAGACAGTGATTAGTGTAGACACAGGAGAGATAAGCAGGTCTGCTGTTCTACTGCTGTTTGAATATCTTATTCAATATGCCCTCATCAGTTACGGCTCTTTAGTTTTACAACCAGTTTTTTTCTTTTTTTATCTCACTGTACCTGATGTAACAACACAACTCGCTCTTTATGAGTCTGCACCAGCCTCGCGCTAATCCTCGCTACAATCCCAAGGCCCTTTCGTTGTAAACCTGTCCTCGACTCTGCTGTTTACTCTTGCAATTGCACACAAATATAGCCTTAGTTCTGTATGACAAACCCTACTACAGTCAAATAAAAAGTCATCAAAATACCTACAAAAATAGTATGCTTTGTTATTATGAAGCTCAACTTTTACTTTGAAGGACTGACTGCTTTTACAGTTCTATGTAGCAGGCAAATTGGACTGTACCAACACTGTTATGGTAAATGTGGTGAGAAAACAACACTTTCTCCCATTCTTTGTAAGGTTCACATCACCAGCTACATCAAGTCAAGAGACAGCTGCAAATCTGACTTGAGTCCAACCAGCATGTTGTGACAGAGCCTGCCAGAAGTGTTTCAAATCTTAACCTGGAGAACGTAGCTTATTCTGGCTGGCAGAGCGGGACAGCGGCAGGCTCTGGCGAAATCGGTTCATCCGGTTGAAACCAAGGGGGATGTCGGCTTCCGACATGGTCTCCAAGGATTCAGCGGAGGCGAAGGAAAGCTTGGCGGCCTGGTCAGCGAGGCCCGACTGGGTAGACTGGGAATGGCGTGGACTGCGGCTCTGCAGGATGAGAGGACACAATAATTTACTGAGAGGTGAAATTGAGGCGGAAAAAAAGGATTGGACAGGGCCGATGGAGTAAGACCAAGTGGAAAAAGAGACAGCGAACACACAATGAGACACCACACAATGAACCACCTAACAAGATTATCGAGACCTTGACAATGGTTTAACTACCAGCCATTCACTAAGAATTACTAGCGTCACAGTATCTGACATCAGTTGAATGGAGCAGCAGCAAAACACAATATAGTTGTACTCAAATCACACAGCACTCCAGGGCCTTCATGAATCACCTGTGGTGGAGCAGAATTAAGCTGGAAACTGTCCTCTAGCTTAGCATAAGTTATGTCATGCTTGCTCGACTTTGCACACCTCCCACTCACCCTCATCCAAACTCTTGTCCCTGTGCAGCTACGAACTTTAAATGAGTGCTTGTGGGATGGGAGGAGAAACTCACGCAAATCCCAGGCTGTCACTGTGGGTTTATCCTGCTGGCCTATGCCCAGGCGCCTCTCACTGAAAGACCGTTAACGCAGCTGGGGCTGGGCTCACTGAACTGACTCCCTGATCCTCCACCGCTGTAGCATCTCCTCCAGCTCTGAGACTGCTGTAATGAGCTCCCAGAATGCTGTCTGCTGATTGTTTGGATGGCAAAAGCAAACACATCCTTAGCCACAGTGTAGTAGCCGCGCCTGTCTCCTCCTAGTTGTACCATGAACACAACAGTTTTCCCCCCTTCTAAGGATTTCCCTCTCTCCCTCTAACTGTCTGAGTCAAGCTGCAGCATGGATTTACTGTGGCTTCCATTACCGTGGTATTTAATTAATGGGAGAGTCTGACAGAAGCAACGCAGAGGGCCATGCCTGCGCTCACTAGCTCTCAGCAGTGCGCTGTTTGAATTCATTCATGAACACACATACATGCATTGATGGTTTTGTTAATTGGGCAATAAGGCAGGAAGCTGTGCTGCACAGGGAATTGAGGCTGCAACTAGATATTACTTTCACTATGGATTTTTTCAAGGAATCAATTGTTCAATCAATAAAATATCTGGAGAAAAAAAATGGCGAAAAAGTCCTTCTACTTTCCGGAACTTGACATCTTCAAATTACTCCTCAGCAGTTACCAATAGTATATAAGTTATTCAGTTTACGGTGAAATCTGAGAAAATTCTGACACTGGACAACATAAACAAAGGATTTACATTTTTAGCTTTGCAGGCAGCACAGCTCTATAAACAGCTATGTCCGCCTGTCAGATTGTCGATTGACCACCTTGGTTCAGAGTATAACATCTCAACATCTATTAGATGGATTGCAATAGAATTTTGTCCTGATGTTTGTGTCCAGATTGTCCAGTGCTTGAGTTCTCAACTAAACATGTGCCAAAGATTAGCAGGTTAGCATTATCTGAGTGCAGCCTAATTACTTAATAAATGTTTAAATTGCAACTCTTTAACCAATGACATTAAAGATTTTTCCTTTTTTTTTTTTGCAATCAATTAATAAATTGTTGGTGCAGTACAGTAACTAAACTGCAGTATGTGGGAGATAACAATATGTAAGTTCTGCAATCATTGGTAAGTTGCTACCATATGCTATCACATGTATGTTTACCAGGCAAGTTACAAACCCCCCAGCAGGACCATAACAGCCGTTTTTTTGTTTTTTCTAATGTAACGTTACGCTCCTCTTGTCACAATCATACATAATTCAGTCACACACCCACACACAACAGAATGCGAGTGGTGGTGTCCAGTGATGGTGGTGGCAGACAGTGTCTGAGCGTGCAGAGAAACTGTGATGCTGACAGATAACCCCCACCATGCTTTCTAATAGGGTCATTTATCTAAACTGTGACCACACTGAACAACACAGCCAGCAGCATCACAGAGGAGCAGCACGTACTGCAGTGTGTCACATTCTGACCAGACCGTCCTCCAGTAAGGGGGAAATTCAATGAGAACATATTATACCTCATGAGGCTGAGGCTTAAGAGCATTTGATTTGATTTGAATCCAGCACTGAATCATCTTTAAAGTCCTTTAAATTTTGTTTATGGTTCAGGAAGCAAAAGTTATCAATACAGAAACTTAATATTTAAAGGAACAGTGTGACACTCTGGGAAATATGCTTTGTTTTTATCGGCAGTTACATTGGGAGATTGATATCACTCTCATGTTTAAATATGAAGCTATCACAAGCAGCTGCTTAAGTGACTGGAAAACAGCCATTCAGCCTCTGTAAGGTAACAATCAGGCTATTTCTTGGGCTCTGAGCAGTTGCCAGGCAACCAGGATTGACATCAAGTTACTTATCTTGACCAAAAAGTAATCTGATATATGACCCATGGCAAAAGAGTTATTTTTACACCTGCTTTTTTTTTTCATCGAACAAGACAAAAAGGCAGGAATCAGTGAGCTTTAAAGGTGCTGGTATGGTAGGTAGATATTTTTTACCTCTGCACACAGCCAAGCTGGCTGTTTCCCCGAGTTAGCAGACCACATTTAATTATCTAAATGCCACTGAGGAAGGCAAATGATAAAAGACATTTGTTTGACTCTGAGCTCAATAAATCCAAGTGTAGTATACAGCGAGTACACTCCTGTGCAATATCGCTTAAATGTCAAATGATACAAGATTGTATCATCTTACAGTAATTGCATCATTTCTAAGTTGAACAGTTGGCTCTTATGCAGAAGTAAAAACTAAGAGCTTAGATTTACCTCAATCATTTATTTCTTCAGTACGTCCTATCCCCTCGCTCTTTTCTGATGATGGACTCAGTCCTCCTTCGCATGAAGGATAACAAACTTCTGAAGATGCTTCACCATTTTTCAAAAATCTTGTTTTCTTCTGGAGTGGCCATACTCATGTCAAATATGCTGGACCTCATCTGGTAAATAAATTTATCTTGATATAATCTGACCTAAGAATTAGCTGATCAGGCCTCTATTGATGTTTAGGGAAAGCTAAATCCGGCAGGTTTGTGTTGAAAGGCAAGCAAGGTTTTTATTCTTCTGTACATAGACGCTGTGAACTGTCTATCAAACTGTCTGAGCTGTCAGAAAAACTCAGATTTTCCCTTAATAACCCATACTTCAAATCAAGGCAACAACAAATAGCACTCTGTCTGTGCTGTAGTTTTACAAGAACAGCCAGTTGACTGATTTTCAGCTGGTCACCGATATTCCAGTAATCTGTTCCATCTTTTCAATTCCTCTGGAAATTCTTTTTCATGTGGAGCCATGATGCAGACATGCAGATAGGCACAGCTCATAAGACGAAAACTGAGAAAGTTCTCACAGCTCAGTTTAAAACCAAGTTCATGCAGGCTGAATGAAAATCACAGGCACACTTAGTTTTTTTCAGTGATTACAGGTTTTCTAACTTGTGTGTCAGTGATCACGTGTTTTCACTTTTGTTGCATTAAGTTTCTACTATGAAGCTACTAAGTGTTTTCAATATGATCTTTCTAATGCACTTGTTGATGACTGCTCAAAAGAGGAAATAATCCATTTGTGAACTCACCATTTCTGCAATTGTTACAGATAATTCACCTTGAAAATATCTGACATTTAAGTGATATTGCATAGGGGTGTCCAAACTTCTGTTGTACGCTGTGTTTGCCACCTTGGAACAGGATCTGCAACGGAACCAGCTGTACACAGTCCCACAAACACAACCCACCTACTCAGTCAAAGTAACACCCAGGAACTCGTTTGGCATAGAAACGCAGCAACAGCTTTCAGTATGAATGGAAATGAGAGCAACACTGTGTTTCAACATTCTGAGTCTGCTGGTGCATGTGAGAATTTTATTCTAAAGCTCAATAACCCAGTTTCAGCTTTCTATGAAAAAGGAAAGGGGAATTGAGAGTATGATACTGCATGAGTGAACTCGCTTCTCACAATGTCTGCGCAGTTCAAATATATAATTCTGATCCAGCTGAAAAAGAAAAGAGAAAAAAAAAAGTGTGGGAAAGGCGAAGAAGTAATTCTGTATTCTCTCATTGACTGCCATCAACGTGTTGCTCAACAAGACAATGAAATCCCGACGTATGACTGCGTGTAAGCTCGCCGCAGCTGTTGTTATATGTGCTCTTAGTCAGTTTGCCTTGTTGCAACAGACTCCAAACATTGACTTCCATATTGGTGGTTTATGTGATATGAAAACTGAAAATATCTCGCTGCAGTAATTTTGCATTGTAAATAATATATGTGAATGCACCATCTGGTCATGCATCTGGTCCTGCTAGACATGCCAGTGTTACACATGATGGTGTTCACAGGCTTTGAGGGGGAAACCGTTTCTACCTCCTTGTTCTCCCGCTACGACTCCCTCCCTCCCTCCCTCCCTCCCACCCGAAACCTTTCCTTTTAGAGCGATCCAGACTTTTTTCAACAGCACTCAATTACTGCTGAGAACTCTACACTGATATAAGGGCACGGCTGAAGAGAGGAACAAGTAGGGAACAGTATGATCCTGCGTGGAACAGAAGCGAATGGAGTGGAAAGTGGTACAAGGCGGCCCGACAACAGACCTTAGGCAACAAACTGCATTAAACTCTATGCAACCTCCCACTGTGTCTTTTCTTGTTTGCTGTGCTTGTACACACACAGACACACACACAACCGCACTTGGACACACACACACTGTTTAGTCTGCTCTGTTTTAAGGTCAAAGCACTGGAAGCCATAGTGTACGGCTTTTTATGTGTGGAAGAGCACATCTCATCAAATTACATCTGACACTTTACTGTTGTCTTGTCTAGTCTGCAAAGTCGTTAACCTTGTACACAGGCCAACATAATGCTTAAGCTTCTCTTTAATAAAATCTCCACTTAAAAATGGATTTCCACTTCACCTACATGATGTTTGACCAAAGACGCACACATGCAGCACTGTAATAAAACAGTATGGACACTTCCTGGACTATTAAATGTGAATTTATCAGGGAAATATTTCGAAATTATGTTTTTTAAGTCCGATTTTAGGTTTATAGTGCCCAAATTACTACCTAAGGGATCAACAATCTGGCTGCAGTGGGTTTGTTTTAATATTATTTTAGAATTTAGGGGTGAAACTCTCGTCTTGATACATAAAAACACATTTTGCTGCAGATCAAACTGTATTTGCGGCTTCTTAAATCATTCTGCGGCTTCATATCTCTCAATTTCCTTCTTATTTTTCATTCATGGTATGATAGCGCAGAGTGACGCTGCTCGCCTCTTTATGTCAGTGTTGCTGTAGTCGTGGTTGAATCAATTTTATTAGAATTGTCATTTTAATAAACTCACACGTCATAGCTTGTGAAATGATCTGCACGGTTTTAGCATAACAATCACAGGTTGTAGCAGATTAAACCATGAGGTGAGTTGAAATATTGTACAATAGTGTTTGCAAAGCTTAAGTTGAGACAGATTTAAGGTGAAAGATTTCATATTATGCAATAATTCATGAACATACAACAAGCAGACGAGCAAATGTGGCTGAACTACTACACTGCTTTTGAAGCACACTGTGAAGTCTAGGTCCAGAGGGTGGCTCATTACAGCATGTTTGCTGCTCAACTCTATTTTCTAATCTTGTCCCCGAGAGTAATAATTCTCCTATTAAGTGATTTGACAGCACTTGACTACATACAGGGACGTCAAACACAGTCTGATGTGTGTGTGAAGTCTTTGTCTCTGGGGTACTACGGTAGACAGGTGCTAAATGACTCAACCTCACACCTCGTCCACATCTCTTCCTCCTTGTTTCTCCTCCTAATGATACTTTTATCTTCCTCAGATGTTTCTGTGCACCTTTGCCACCAGTTACCCATCTTCCTCTCCCACTTTTTTTCATCCCCTGTCACTCATTTGTCCTCTCCAACCACTCCCAAAGCTCGCTTGATTCTCCCTGAGCTGCTTTATGTCAACATATCTGCCTCCACCTCAAAGGCCGAAGCCACATTCTGTCTGCATTTGAGCATTGTGAGTCTGCATGTTCTCCCTCTACCCACAACCTGGCTCTTTCCCACACACACACAAAAAACCCCTTCACAGCTCTGTCTTGAAAATGGAGAGAAAACAGCGCCCTAAATCGATCCATCTCTCACATCTGTTTTGCTCCACTTGCTCTTCCTCCTCCATTATTTCTCTTCATCTTTTTCAACTCTCAGGCCAATCTTCTGGACACGCAATCCCTCCCCATCTCCCCCCTGAGACACACCGTAGAGTCCCTTCTCTTTTTGAATACCAGGAGTCATCAATGCATGGAACAAACTGTTTTGTCAAATTGCTGTGAATTGTAAGTCGATGCAATCAGTTTGCCGAGAAGGAGGGTGAGCAAAATAGCGCTGTCTTCGAGTCAGGAGATGATGGCTGAGATTGCTGGTCGGGATTGTATTTTTTTTTCTGACAGACAGAGGAGAAACAGAAGTCTGGAAACCTGTCAAGAAATACATATTCTGCACTTTCATTGTCAGAGAATGAGAAGCAGAACTGCATGTGCAACACCTGTAACCGCCATCAATAATGTTTAGCAAGTGTCAACATTTAACACACAAGGATCTGATAAAAACCCCCTCATACGTTTATTTATTCCGCAGGTGGAAAAAAAACGAGCGTAGTATGATCCTGATAGTAGCTCTGGTTCGTGTTTATTTTCAGCAAGCAGGGGAATCCAGTGAGAGAGAGTTGAGCTTAGATTAGAGCTGGTGGGACGAGGGAGCAGGACGTGGCTTTCAGAAGCTTTAGTGCGAAATGAAGAAAATTGCGCAGGATGAGGTGTCAACATAAAAGGTGTCAACAACAGTCTGCGCGCTGAAAGCAAATATCTTTAGATCTGCTGGCACTTGGGCCATTTTCGGTTGTTTCATTCTACGTTTTATTGCTGCTGCAGCACCTTGCAGAGCAAACAAATAAATGCTCTCGCTGCCGGGGTGATTAAACTACCTAATTTGGTGGATTGCAGTGCAAAAGCTGCAGAGCAACATCAAGCAATTAACAGAACAGCAATTCACTGTACTGGTAAGTACAAAGCACTGAAAATACTGTTGTTGATTTTTTTTTATTTTTTTTTTATAGCTGCAACAATTGCTCAGGTAATTTAACTGAGCAGCAGAAAATTAATCAGCAACCATTTTGACAATAGTTTAATCATTTTAGTCAATTTTGGAGCTATTAAAAATCATTGTTCACTTCACACTGCTTTCAGTTTGGACTGCTGGTTTTGAAAATTGTCAATATGACTCTGAGAAACCTTGGAATTGTCTAAACCACTCAATTAATTAAGAAAATCATTTTTTAAAGTAATAAATTAACTGATAGTCACAGCTCTACTTTTTTAAAGCTCATTTTTTACATTTTCAGTATTTCTGGAAATAATTTTCTTTTAGATCTAATTTGACCTAATTAAAATAAAAAATCTCTAATTTGTTAGTTTATGTTCAAAGCTTCACATTTCAAAGTCTTGCAACCCACCTGAGAGTCCTGCAGAGTTTAAAATCCTCTGAACACAAAACTCACTTCATATCACTCTTCAGGTTCGAGCACTTGTGGGAGTGAGGGATAAATTGCTTACGCTTCCCCGTGGGTCAGCACATATGGCTATTGATATTCAGTGACATTTCCACCCTGTCCAAATGATGTTGTGAGCAGGCATTCAGGGAGGTCCACTCCTCAGATAAGCTCTGGGCTCTTCCGTCACACATGCATCAATGCATGCTCTGTTCAGATACTTCACCTTCACCCCCCTCCCTGTCCACCTCTATAAAGTATAGCACCAGAATGTAACACACATAACCTTGTGTAAAAGCGAACAAACACGCTAAACCCTTTACATACAGTATAAGTGATTTATACTTGCAGTATGTCTGTGTGTTCTCTAGTGTATACAGCCTATATTTTCCTCTTTAAACCTGCGGATAAAATCCATTCAGCAGCCCAGACATGACTCAAGCCCCCTGAGCTAATTTCAAAGCATTATTTCAGTAATACCTTAGCGGCACATCTGAAATGTCTTCTTAATGTCTCAGCCAGCAATACGTCGGCAGGGTCACGTGGCTTCTAGCCATTAATGCCAGCTGACTGAGGTATCATAAATCCAGAGAGAATCGTCTCCTGCAGATTAAATTGAGCTGGAGAAGTTTAAGCTGTCGCCACCCCTGACACCTCTGACACCGCACGTACACACACACACACACACGAATAGACCACAGTCATACACTCTGGCCAGGGATCCAAGAGATGCCAAGCGGTCTGGGTGTTGCCGGAGCCAAAGGAACGTGGAGATGGGCTGGTGATGCCTGAGGGGTCGGACGTGATGCCACGGCACAAAACACACTTGCACCGATCCAGATATTCACACACTCTGAGACAACAGGCAGAACGGAATGACCAACACAGAGGGACACTTAGAAAAGCAGCACTGACCTTAAAGCTCCAGTAGTTGGGTTGTTGCTGTGGAGTTTCATAAAGGACAAAAGAGGGAAGGGAAGGAGACAGAAAGAGAAATGTTAAATATCTGCTTCTTTAATAATGGCTCTAGCTTACTGACAAAGGGAAACCACTTAAAAAATAAATAAATAAAGGTACATGAAATAAATTGAATTGGAGATGATGAGCAGATTTGTAGCAAATCTAATGCATCCTCTCCAAAAAGCAACGGTCGCGAGTGTTTTTTTTACGCAACACGCTCCTCTTCTGACTGATTCCGGCTATTTTTGAAACACATTAATACAGCTGACAGCTTCATCTAATGCCGCCGTCTAAACCGCAAGCATAAAGTTAAATTGGTGTTAATGCAGGCGGCGGCTGTGTTTTGCAGGCGGTCGGGTTACAGTGTACCTGAAACAAGATTGCAGTGTTGGCTGTAACTGGTGAAGGGGGAGGAAATGAAAAGAGTGAAATCGAATCAAACAGCAGCCCACTCTGTTGTTGCGACGTTGGCCTCTCTCCCAGACTTCTCCACCACAGGCAAGCAAACCACTCTGTCTCCCGCCCGCTCTCTCCTGTCTATTCCACTCTGGATCCACCTGCTGTGGTCTTTTCATCAGAACCTCGGCGGCCCCACCTGCTTATTTTCCACCGGTCCAAGCTGTGTCTCTCATCTGTCCATTTGCCCTTCCTGCTGCTGCTGCTGCTGCTGCTGCTGCTGCGCCATGTAAGAAAAGGTGCTCGCTAGTTGGCAGAGGCCTCAGGAAATGAGCTTTCCATTAAGCCATAATTACCCAACAGTCAAAACCAGGCCAAGCCACTGATGGCCCCGAAATACCTCAAAATGACATGGAAAATTAAAAAAAGATTGGGCAGAGTTCATGAATTTTAATTCTAATCCAAACTCTTATTCTAGTTCTTATTCTTATCTGCAGGCAATTTTCAGTCAATTCATTCTCCCTTCTGCAGAGGCCACATTACTCTCCTGGTGCAAGGATAAAAAAATAAAAAAAAACTGACAGACAAGTTTTGATTTATGATAGTTGGTGGTTTTTCATTATCCGCCTTCCATTTTAATATAGTCTCAACAAAAGCCAAGATTATTTCTGTAAACACAGGCATCAGTGGCAGCGTTTTCAGTGATTACTACCTTATTGCAATCTGAGCTTTTACTTAATGTTCCCTCGTTGGACCCTGATGACGTTCTTTAAAAGTATTTTGACCTGGTGCTCTTCTCTTGCTCTCATTTGCTTTTTATCCTTTCTTTTTATGGATTAAAGTGCAGCTTCTTGCTTGGTCTTGATGGAGAGGGAAGCATTTAAACTAAACTAATACAAAAAGGTTACGTTTCCTGGCCACAGTTTACAGACACGGGCCAGTTCGTACACAAGAAATCAATGGCTTTTATAGCTTTATACTAAAAATAATAACGGAGAACCTGGTTTCTACTCTCTAGACTCCAAAACCTGCTGCTGGGTTTGAAAAACGTGTCATTTACCAGAGTCAAAAACTGTAAAAAACAGAGAGAGTTATTGGATTTCTGACAGTTCCTTGAACTAATTGTGTATGATCAATTGGAAAAATCAACCTAAAAATCGCAACACATTCACTTTATACTGCATGTCTTATTTAAACAAATGGCGAAAAACAGTTTCCAATAACTAGATTCTGTACGAACCAAAAATATGTACTCTCTTTGGAACAATTGAGAAGCCATAAGTTACCAATCGTGTGACAAAAACTCAGATTATTTAGCAGAACTGAACTAAAAGTACATTTTGTTTCCCAGTTTAGTCAATTTTTGTAAAATAAATGATCAAAAAAGTTGCTTTTTATGATTTATGGCATTTTAATTTTGTTAGACTTTACACAAGACATTTTTGAGTTCTTTCTACTTGGAGCCATACTTGTGCTGTTTCCATAAAGGCGCAGGACTTTATAGTGCAGTGAAAAATGAATGCACATGATGAAAAATGTGACAGCAGCAAAAACACCCAGAAACTGCAAAAAACACTGAATGCATACAGTGTACGGTATGTTCTACTATTATAATATACTGTTTTGGAGCTACTGTACATGTAACCAATGTACTTAATCACTTTTTAAGAACCGGTGTGAACTAAAGTGAATTTGGAATGACACTGACAACTAATTCTCAGAAAGATGCTTCTAAAAGAAGCAGCAATTATTCCTTTCAGAGGTGTTCTCAGAACTGTTCCAGCTGTGAGCAACTCCATCTTTTCTCTTTGTGCAGTGCATTGTGGGAGAATTGTGAACAATGCATCAGCAGGACACTCCACTCTCAAGGGTTTTTAAAATCATAATATTACAATAATAATCTCTATTTAAAGAGTGTGTTTCAAATTCCATGTTGCAAAGTGCTTCACAAGGGCAAAATAAAACCGTCACAAAACAGTAAAACTAAGTGATGAAATGTTCAGCTTTTAAAATAAAGACAAAAAAGCTATTTGTTGTATAAATACAATGTCAGAAAATGAAAGAAGATCTTTAAAGAGAACTTAAATAAAATCGCAAAAGGCTCTCAGATGAAAATATGTTTTAAGCAGTGACTTAAAGGAGGACACTGACTCAGCCGACCTGATTTCTTTGGGCAGTTTGTTCCAGAGCCTCGGGGCCCCGACTGCAAACACACGGTCCCCTTCAGTTTTCAGCTGGACCGACTAAAGAGCTCTGCAGGAATATCTCAATTTGAACGACGACACAGGTCAGAGATAGCTGGGAGAAAGGCCATGAATGCCGTTAGGAGTAATAAGTAAAATCCTTAAATCTATATTGAAACACACTAGAAGCCAGTGTAAAGATGTGGTGACATTTCTTTTCCTAAGGTCTGGACAAACGCCTGGCAGCTGAATTCTGTACAATCGGGAGTTGGTCAGTAGATTTTTCAGTTCATTCAGGCAGGTAAAAACAAAAGACTTTGGCAGTAACTCAGGTGGGATTCGACAAAAGCACGTTAAATGGTTTCTGTGCCTTTAAAACTTAACCAGATTGCATCTTTTAAAATATTTCTAAGAGGACTGCATGGGCTTTGTGGAGTGCTGCTCAATACTGGCAGAAGTTTTTATACTGACTTTATTATTAACTTTTTGAATAAAAACAAGTTACTTGAATAGCAAATGTATGATTTATAAGCACCGTGATGGAAACACATACAGGCTGCAGACACAAGTACACAGTTTATGTTAGCTTATTAAGTGGTTCAACTATTTACTTTCTTTTTTATATATTTAACCTTCTATGACTCTTGTCACTTTTGCAGTGTACTTTATATCATGTCTAGAATTAGAATGTGGTCTAAATTTTGGGTACAGCATTAGTTTGGAACGATACTGCCAATTCAGCTTCCCAGAGAGGGGGAACAAAGTTCATAGCTTGTCCATTTCTGTTGTGCAATACATTGTGGGGCAAATCAAGCAGACGTTTTGTGGTTTCTTTTCGTGTTCTTTTTGTCCACAGCGGATGCACTCCATACACAAAACCTGCTTAGAATTCATGGAGTATGCAAAAAGCATTAGTGTAGTAATAGTATGGGAATAGGACACATTACAATCAGCAACATAATGCAGTTCATTAGTCTGCAAATTATAAAAATGAAAACACATCTCTAAACACTGCAGCCTTCATTCTCAGAGTCGTGGTTACAGCATTGCACAGCATTTTATTTTTATTTCTGTGTCTATAAAGGCTGATAAGGAGGGGAGTTGTTCTCCACATAGTTTTAAATGTTGGAATGTTAGAAGTGTACATATACGGGTGTGCTTAGCCACACTGGCACTGAGACAAGTGGGACATGAAATGATACGGAGCATAATCTCAACCCACGCTTCCTTTTCCCCACAGCATATAAATTTCTCCCAACATATGTCAAAGCAGTTATTATTAAAGACGCCTCTTTGAAGTGATGCTGGGGAGAATTTCTGTCTCCTAGCAAGCTTGTCTGCTTTATTAAATGCCCCATATTGTCGCCGTCCACTAAAAAAAACCCCACATATCTTCAAAGTTTGAAGGATTAAATGTTCAATTATGGATTGATAAAAGAAAGAAATGCTGTCAAATATGGTTTGGGTGATTCCAAAAAGTTTTTTTTATGGGACAGGAGAAGATCTGACAGTGTAAATCATCTGCACCTGAAGCGGTAAAAAGAAAAAAAAGCTGATTGTGAAACATTGGTGAGAGGTCATCAGATAAGTGGGTCACTTTCAGGGATAAGCTGCGACACGAGGTCTTCAACTTGAATCGGCCTTGACTATCTGATCATGTGTCAGTCATTTATTCACTGTAGCCGGTGAGCTTCGTCCTTGACAATCCGTCCAACTGACAGCAGCTCAGGGGCAGCATTGGTGCGTCATAAATAATTGCTGTTCACTTGTTCCAACAACGTTAATGATTTTATTTTCCCCACAAAGCTAAATGACTCTGAGGGCTGGCTTTAATGGTGCAGAAGTGATTTGTGGTCTTGTGTGTCTGACTCTGCCAGTGTTTCTCCGTTTGTTGCTTTAATGAGGCTTACTCAGTTCTCAGGTAAAGTAAACACATTCATCCTCTTCTGTTGTAACTGTTGCTCTGCTGACAGCTGCAGATATACTGAACTTGGACTTTGAGTTACAAATATTGCACTGTGAGCTTATTCCAGCGTGTGTTCCTTCCTCTCTAGCAGTTCCTGGCAATCATAGCTGCAATCAAAGCGCATCTCCTGAGCAAGAAATTACATTCAACAGCTTGTTCTGTGCTTGTCAGTGGCTATGACACCAACTCATTCAGCCATGATCCCAGATGATAGACCTAACTCTTGTCATTTTTAACTTCCTTTTGGCTGCGAGCCCCGGGTAAACACATTGACTGATATGTGTTTAGGATGTCAGGGCTGAAGGGCTGAAGGCATCCCCCTCGCTGCTCAGTTAAAACACCCATCTATGCATTTACACACAGGCATGTGCGCTGACTGGAGTTAGCCACAGAGCTCCAACAGAAGGACGTAGCCTCACAGAATGGAGCGCTGCATTACCTGACCTGCATTTAAAGCAGGCTGCACTCACTCCACCCCTCCTCCACCTCTGTCTCTTTCTCATGTCGTCATCCTCTCTGCACCCCCCACCTCCTCCTCCTCCTCCCCCCCATCTCAATCATTCTTACTCCAGTTTGGTGCCTTAACATCACAGCAGCCCTCGCTCCCTATTTTACAAAAACACACACACACCAAATTAATGCTCACTCGCTCTGTGCACAGCTTCCCCTGCCGTCCACTCAGCCCTCCGTCTAGCCTGCTGAGCATATGCACGCCATCACCACAACAACCACAACAAACACAACAGGCGTGGAATCTAATCCCAGTTGGCACATTCTCATCCTCCCTCCTTCCCTCCCTCCCACACACACACACACACACACACTCCTCTCTACAACAGCCTCCAGCTTTTCAGTCCCATCTCACCTGCAGTGCACCTGTGCCTGTCCACCACTCCAGTCATCTCAAAGGCTGTCCGTCAGGTGCAGTGAATCCTCATCGCGTTTTTGCCCGTCTCTCCCTCCCTCTGCTTCTCTTACCCACCTCCCTCTTCCTCACTCAATCTCTCTCCCTCTTGCTCTCTCTCTCTCTCTGTGTCTCGCTCTACAGTTGCACATGCGGCGGAAACTCTTTATTTAATTCATTACAACACCAGCCGATTAACTCCTTCGCAGATGGGTGCTTGGGTCCTGCTGGTGCTGGCTAATTGAGCAGCGGGCTGCTTGACTGGCTGCTGCGCTCCTCTCCAGCTCCTCGTCCCCCCCTCCCTGCTTCCTTGCTGTCCATGCTCTGCAACATCCACGAGATGACAAGGATTCCTGGGCTCTGCCGCTTCCTTCCCCGTGAAGTAAAAATGCCCTGTCACTTCGGGATCTGTCCACTCTCCTGGCTGCTGCTTAAATTTTTGGGGTTTTTTTCTTCCAACTGCCTGCCTTCCGCTCACTGTTCCTCTAGCCCCCTTGCCTTCATTATTGTACAATTCCTCCTTCTCTACACAACCTGACCTTTGCAATGCGATAGCCCTGCTTGCCATATATGGGAGAGGTTGCCACGGCAACTATGGACTCCACCTGTCTTTCACCCACCCTCTCTTGTGCACTCGCTCGCTCCCTTTCCCTACTCTCTCCCTTTCATTCTCTCCCCTGATGTGCTTTTCTGTCACGTCATTACACTGAAATCCCCCCGTTTTTTAAAAAAAAATGAAAAAATACACAGCAGTGGCGCTCACACCAAGAGAGACCGTGTGTGTGTACAGTACAGTGTGTGCATGTGTGTGACGGAGACAGAAGCGAGCCGGAGAGCTACGTGGAGGTTACGAAACTGGTCAAAGTATAAACTGCATTTGCAGTGGAAATGACAAAATGAGACAAAGAGCAGAGGAGAAGCAAGTGAACTGCATTAGCATTTGTGCATTCAACATGTTTGTGCTTCTTCCCACACCTCAGCAGCACCAGTCATATCCCTCGATGTGAGAATCTGCAGGAATTGGCAGCAGAGAAACAAAGCCGAGCTTGGCTGTCACAGTTTAATGACGACCTGTAGTAACGTTTACAAAGACCACCCGACAGCCCTCTCTGTTGTATTTTCTGTCTCTGCTCTGATTTTAATGAGCACAATGGGAATCATTGTGCTGCTTTCATTCTGGATGTCATCTAACAAAAAAAAAAGTTTTTTGTTGCTTGACAATACATGTGACACCCCATAGGTAATGGGCCTTTGTGTGTCTACATATGATGTCATTTTTCTGTTGAAGTCACCACATTGAGAGCTTTGAAACACACACAACAGTTTCATACATATCCACAATACACCAAGCATATCCCCGTACATATATATTTAATAAACAAGCATCAGTTACCTGTTCTCGTGCGGACCGCTCTGATGTCCCCCTCATGCTGGCGTGGGAGGGCGAGGGCGACGGCGGGTTGTGGTGGGGGCTGTGGTGTGGATGCTGCAGCTGCTGCTGTTGCTGCTGGTACTTGCTCTTCAGGTGGTCCATGAAGGCATCCCGCTTGCGTTCCATGTCAGCCTTGTGCAGGTTGGTTAGGGCCTCCAGGCTCTGGGCGGCGCTGACGGTGTGGCGGTGCTCCGACGTATGCACCAGGCCCACATTGGAGAAACGCCGGGCGCTGTTCCCCAGCGTCCGGTACTCCCGCGGATACTCCAGGTCATCTGTCGAGATCATGTGACTGCCACCACGCTCGGGATCTGAGGGGGCGAGGACAGAGGAAGGGAAGGGACGATAAAGGAAAGGAAGGAAGAAAGGGTGGGAAGTGTGCGAGAAAGAGGTGAATCAGCAGCCACACGAGCATGCAGAAAGATTTCAGGGTGGAGACGTACAGACACACAGCAGGCACACATAGGTGGAAACAAATGAAGCAGAGAAGGAAAGTGGAAAAATAAGGCACAGAGGGGACAGCGAGAGAGAGGGAGAGAGAGAGAGAGCAAGGGAGAGAGAGAGAGAAAAAGAAATGGGATGGGATGTTAGACTATTTGCCACCAGGACGGAGCAGTTTCTTGCAGAATTATTGATTTCAAGTTCTGAAGGGAAGAAAAATGAGAAAAGTAAAACGCTTCTGCAACAGATCAAAGGAAGAGGCTCAAGCTAAATTTGTTTTGCGGGATATTCCATTATGATATGCCTGCTTGTCATCTTAAGTGGCTTTTATTGTTTTCTTGGAAACAGAGGAGAACTAAGTATTGGAAATTTGGGTGACTGAAAGTCAAGTGGGAACATGAGGTCACACTTTTTTCATTTCTCTCCTTGTTCTTGTTGCTCTTCACCAACTCCTGTCCAACTATTTGAGCTTTCTCTCCATCCCTTGACACCTTTTGACACTTTTTCTACACAGTCTCACTGTCTCTCCTGAAAGTTACTGATTCTGCTGTCCATTTTTCAGGAGACTCATCACTCTGACAGTCCTTGGCCTTTTATCGGCACTCTAACTGACAGACAACACAGCCCAAGGTGGAAGGCACACAGGAAGGGAAGGGAGGCAGCCGGAAGGAGACGGTATGGTTACACAAAAAAAAAATATGTGACTGGAATAACAAATGAACTTAAGATGTGGAAAAATAGCAGGGAGCCATTCGCCCGGTGAGTTACCTTGCTTAGGAAAACAGGCCCCGGCGTTGGCTAAAAGAGAAACATGCCAAGGGTTAATTTGTGTGTTTGTGCACAGATGTGCAAGCAAACACACCAGAACACTGTCACATGACCATCAGAAAAGAGCTATCGAGAAATGATAGCACTTTCTCTGAATTACAATTAGTTAATGCATTATATATGCATTATAATGTATTCATACGGGTTAACATATGGGGGGAATGGTTTGCTATGAATGCTAATAGTGTCTTACACTAACTTTCAGAATAGGGAATGACTATCATCATGCATTATTACACAGAAAAGTTCATACACAGTGTTTCTTAAGACCACAACACATTTAATCACATTATATTATAATGGAAACTAGTATAAACTTCAGACTTTAAGCAGGTAGACAATCAATTCAGAGATGGATAATAAAACTAATACTGGTTTAACTAAAATCATAAAAAGTGCTGAGGCTTAATAGGGTTGAATAAAGTGGACCATCTGTACATTAAATTCTCATCAGCTGCATTAGGATGAGCCGAGCGAGGGAGCAGCACAGGGAGCCTCCTCGGGGCAGAAGCAACAAATGGACTGTTAATGAACGCAGCAACGAGGAGGAAGCCGGCCAGAAGGAGGCTGCGACGCTCTCCGGTGGACAAACCTCAACACAGAGAAAGTCTGTTAAGGGCAGAAGGTCTGTGATCATTCTGGCGCAGCTGCAATCAAACTGCGCGCTCCTCGTGAACCCATTTCTTCCTCCATTCATTCTCGGAGAGATATCGTGCTTAGACGTGATCAGCTGTTCCAACACCCTGCCCTCACATCTCTCACATTATGAAGTACTGATAAACTGAACAGGGGTGAGGCGAAATGGACTGACCTCCTGGCTAATAGCATTAGCATTGAGCTCTCCACTACTCACCAAGGCCTCCAAGCCTTATTCATCCACCCCCCCCCCCCCCCACCCTCTCAACCTCCCAGATCTCTGGTTTACACTTCATTAGGCTGGAGCTTATTGTACATCAGCTAACAAGGACCTGACTCAAGGGCCCCATTACAATGGCTGGCAAAGCTGGGTCTATGTACTACAGCTTATTGTTGTCACAGAGCATGCATGATGACAGGGAAAAGCTAAGTAGGCAACGCTGCCTATAGACAAACATACAGCTGCAAAGAGAACAAAACACTGCATCAACAAGCTGCATGTATTACAAACCTTTATAACAGAGCTGGGGGATGTCGGCAAAAAACAAATCAAACACTAAACATGATTAAATAATAGTGACAGACTACCAAAGCAGCACCTACCAAGGCCTTATTAACTATTTATTAAAATAAATCAATATTTATGAGAACAGATTGCATTTTGCTGGTGTTAAGTTAGAAAACTCTCCAGGAGGATATCTTGCACAGCAGCATTTGGTACAACAACTGAACTAGCATTCCTTGAAGACTTTTTCCTAGAAATCAAGCTGGAAAAGTGAGGATTGTCTTAAAACCCCAGTTTTTATCAGAGACTAGATACTTACATGGTAACAACATCCCATATTGTTCTTTAATAGAAGGGGTACTAGGGGAGTTTTTCTGCAGAAAAGTGTTATGTTAGTTTTTTTTGCAGCTTTAAAGTTGATCGGCTACCAAGTCCCAATATAAGGATTTTTTTTTTTAGACTTAGTAAGCCCTAATAGTGTTTTGTTAGACTTACTCAATCCACAGGACTTTCTGTAGGCTTGTGTATCCCAGAGAACAAAAAGACAATGGGATTATTTTTCCTCAAAACAAATGTTGAAAAATTTTAATTGTCATAATCAAGCCTGTATTGTCAGTCTGTGTGTTGTGCAGCTGTCTAACATCTGTTTTAAGTAAGATCTAACAGAAGTTAAAAAATGCAAAATGGGTTAATTGCTCCCATATAACAGACAAGCACTCAGTTTTGTTAGAAGGTGCAATTTCTTTTTTCTTCAGCACTGAATTTGGAATATAACCCAAAAACTTTCAAAACAGCAGTTGGTGGGTAGACTTTGCAAAGCTGCACACAAACGCAGCAGGAGTAAAAGTCGTGTGGGCAGGAGAGTAAGAATAGAAAACGGGAACAGGCTATTCATCTTTACTTTTGTCATTCACAGCCAATGTATTTCCACATAAGCTGGCAGACAATACTCCTGACAGCCAAAACAAAGCCCACGCAATGGCAGCATCATTTAAACATACAGAAAAAGAGCCCTGATGGGGTGGGCTTCTAGGGGGAACACTTTATCACAAGAAAGAGTCTGGATCTGCAACGGGCCAAACTGCAACCACAAAGACTCGGAGGCTCCGGTAAAAAGGTGCCTGCATGTCGGTCAGCTAAATAATAGAGGACTTGAATGACAGCGGGAGGCTGCAATCAGAAACGATAAGATCTGAGAACCCAGCCAATGAGGCCTGGGCTGCAATGCCAAGATAGAGGGCACAGTCAAGAGCATTAACCTGCCTCAATAAAAAGACCCTGCTGCGGTGGGCACCGAGAGATAAGACACGACAAACAGCAGGAGAAATTACCCTTCTCAGAGAAAAAGATACTGTGATGCAAAAAAACCCCCCAAAAAACAACAAAAAAGAATTTCTAACAACAAACAGCCTGATTAAGCAATGCAATTTTATATTAATTTATTTTTTCATGCAAAATGCAAGAAGCCTGAAACCTTTTTCCACCAGTGAAGATTGAAGATCAAGCATTAAAAAAAAAGAAAAAAAAACTACAATTAGATTTTTTTTCTTCATGGTCTCATATATTGTAATTACCAGCCACTTTTTTCCCTCACAATTATTAAAATTTGTCTTCACGAAGACACATTCTCACCACCCTCAGTGGCTTATTTATATATGTCGGGGAATTTCAGTTAGTAACATGAAGCATTTGCCAACCCACCCACAACTACAGCTATCAACACACACACACACACACGACACTATTCTGTAACACAACAGCCAAATCCTGGACCAAATACTTCTAAAGCGATTTTTTTATTTTTTTTTTAAAGCCTCCCGCTGAACTGGACTCTCAACCCAGGAAGAGAAGTTGCTACTCATCATATGCATACACATATGGTATGGAGAATCGGGAAAAAAGTGGTTTGGTTGTGCTTTGATGGATTCGGAAGAGGCAAGCAGCACAGCTTTATATTTTGAGGATGTTAAACAAGTGGGTCAGAGGCAGTGGAGGGTGTACTGGAGGATTTAAGTCTCACAGAATGATAAGAAAGACTACAGACTGCAGACAAACAGCACTGTGGATCCTTTAATAGCTAAATCTAATTTCACAGGTACGAACATCAAACATTTTGAGTCTACACCTATTGTCAGCTGCAGTTTGAGGCAAGTATTATTTGGGAAGATGCAAATATTCTGTTAACATAAAAAGATATATTGTCTGGAGACATCATCGTACTACTTTTCTACAATAATCGACGATAGTTTCTTTTGCAAATTGTGAGAAAATACTAAAAAAACAACTGTTATAATTTTAAAACACTATTTTTTTTACGCACACACATTGGAGAAGCGTCTGAAAATCTGGCAATTAATCAATTATCCACTAACTGATGAGCTGACTAGCTCAATTTACTGCAAACAATGTTGGAATTTGAAGGAAAAAGTTCTGGTAAAATGCTTTCCCAGATGTCAGACACATTATTTTGAAGCTTTTTGAAATGTTAATTACTTCCAATATGTGTGCTATTCAAAAAAGGTTGCTCTCCACATATTGTCTGCCGCTCTGGCTCATGCAAGGTCTTCTCTCGCTGCGATTTGAAAAGTCTCGACTGCAGACTGTCAGACAACAGGGGAGCTGAAGTGGCATCAGTTAATAAAAAAACATGAGGTAAAATACTTTGAAAAACGTATCACCTGCTTACAGAAGACCCTGAAACCAGCTTTCTGTTCACAACATCCCGTCAAGACAAAATCTGAAGAGTAATTGCACTTTGGAGGAAAGCAATAAATTTATCATCATTTTTTTATCCGACAAACCTAAATGAGTGTGCCGGAGCCTGTCAGCAAATTCTAGCGGAAAGACAATCTTTTTTTTGCGTATAGGTGTGAAATTGTTCTTATCTGCGTCTCACGGCTC